CCCTGTCAACTCCCACAAGGATGTTCTTCTGAGCTCAGACAAACCGGACATACTTGCTTTAAAGCCGCCGTCAATCTTGCCGGCATGTCGATTCCTGCTGTCGCGACCCCTCTCCTTGTACATGCGATCCTTGGCGTACCGGAACGAGACCTGGAAGATACCTCAAGTCGTAGCAGAAGTACAGAAAGCAGGATTTCCTCTGACAACTTTCAATTGGTCCACATACGTGCAGATGATGGCTTCTTCCGACAAGCCTTCTGACCAGGTTGAGGCGTTCACTGTCTTTGAGCGCAAGTTCATGCCTAACTTTCCTGGGTGGAATAATCTTCGCCGGGGTTACGGAGTGAGACCACCTGGCGTACCTTCGACCATTGATGCTATGGAGAACCCGAGACGTGCGAAACCTCCTAACATGCTCGGCAAAGAATCTCGACGCTACTGGAGCAAAATCCAGCCTGACTTCATGCAACCTACATATGTCTCGATGGTCTATCTGGCGTCCGCATTACAAGCGTTCCGGGAGAGGAGTATCTTTGACGGCGGATTGGAGGTCGGGACTCTCTTCAAAGTTGCGCCTAAAACTATTGCAGCCATTGCGGACATGCCGTACCTTCGTGAGAAGTTCCAAGGTGTGTTACTTCGGCGTCGTCAGGAGCAAGGTGACAAGAAGGGAGACTCTGGAGATCGTGATCATTTTGTGTGGACCGGCGGCATCCTTGGTGTTGGTGGCAAACCGAGGTCTCCAACAGCTGTTGAGCAGTCTGCAACGGATGAAGACCAAGAGGAAAACGCTTCGGACAGCGCGCGGCCCCAGCAAGGTGTGATCCATGACGAAGCACCTGATGGCACAAACGCTCCTGCTGTCGAGACGGAATTATTCCCTGGAGACGTGTCCACGCCTAGCACCAAGAGCATAGACCCGCAGGACCAGTTCGATATCGAGGCAGAAGCGCTCCTTGGATCCAGACGCGCTCTGCTAGAGGCGAGCGAAGCATTGCTGGACAATGAACACCGCGCTTCAGCGGATGAAGGCGATGAAAGAGACATGTCTGCCTTGGTGGACGATTTGGCGAACCCAGACGAAGGTGCGCCAGAAGCAGCAGACGGGCGACAACAACAAGAACCGCCTACCGAGCATCAAGGCCAGCCAGAGCAGGAGCAACGCAACAGCGGTATGGCGCAGGATGCATAGGATTTTTCTCACTTATCCCGTTTTGGTCAATCTTGTATATCAAAACCTATGATTGTATATTACTACTATAGATATATATGTCCACTTTTTTAGGACATTTGTATAATATGGATGACTTCTGATAATGACTCTAATCATATCGGGCTACCATACGAAGTAGGACGCAATGAATTATCACGTGACCTTAAATACTTTTGCTGAGTCATTAAGCGACCATTCCGCGACGCGTCAAAGTTGAAAGGACGCGTTCCAATTATGCCCGATTTGGGTGTCGTGTTTCTTGAAGAAAGATCCCTCCGCTAACAACCATTCAAGGACCAAATTGAACATCCCCATTGTCGTCCTTGTATGAGACTGAACTGAAGTACCGGCGAAGTAAAACTCGTTAATTTAAGCCTTCGATCACCTAATTGATTACCTCTGTCACATAAATCCACAAGTCGTGGACATCCTTCGTCATGGATGGGGTTCAACTCCGCGATGAGGCCGGTCAAGATCGAGTGAGAGCTGCTGTCGAATTTCTCGATCCAAGTAAGTTTTCAACATACATGCTTCGTGAAGTAAATTCCTGACTTAGAGGTTCTAACAGGCGATGCCCGCGCGCGGAGGTCTGTGATTCACAAGTACCCTCCCTTGCTGAGACATGATGGTTCTGACGAGCGAACAGCTACCGAGCCGATATTGTGCTGATGCTGAACCGGGGACTGCGTCGCTTGACAGTATGCTATATATACGTTACAAGGTTGGAACAAAAAACTAATAGGCACACAGGTCAGCATCGATGAGATCAGAGCTCACAACCGCGAGTTGGCAGATGGGTGAGTCCAGCACGGTTGCAGTATTGCTAGGATCATGGTGGGCTGATGCTTCCTCTAGTCTTCTTAACTCCCCATTCGATTACTCTCTGGCTTTCGACAGGGCTTTGAAGGAGGTTATCAAGACATTGCCGAACCGACCTTCAAGGGAAACAGCCGACGATGTGGTATGCACAATCTAATGACAATCTAATGAAAGTTTCCGGTCATGCGGCATTTTTGCTGATGAATTTCAGAATTACTACTGTGCCTATGTTGGCGCTTTCGGAGAATTCTCTTGCAACCCCAGAACTCTGGGATCTTCTCACTTGAACCGAATGATCTCTCTCGAGGGTATCGTCACAAAATGCTCTCTGGTACGCCCAAAAGTCATCCAAAGTGTGCACTACAACGAGCGGAAAGACAGATTCGTCGCCAGGCGGTATAGAGATCAAACAATGACAACTACCGGAATTACCAACATGAATGTCTATCCCCAAGAAGATGATGAGAAGAATCCGGTATGCCATTGCAGGAAGAGCCTTAACTGGACTGGTATCGCTGATGACTTCGTTTGTTTTTCTAGTTAATCACAGAGTACGGGTACTCGACATACCTGGATCACCAAACCATTTCCATCCAAGAAATGCCTGAGAGAGCGCCTGCAGGGCAGCTTCCTCGGAGTGTTGAAGTGATCTTGGACGATGATCTGGTGGACAGCGCCAAACCCGGAGACCGAATTCAGCTGGTGGGAATTTACCGCTCTTTGGGAAATCGAAATGCCAGCTCTGGGTCTTCGACTTTCCGCACGGTCGTTATGGCGAACAATATTATCCAGCTATCCTCAAAGTCTGGTGGAGGCATTGCACAAGCTACTATCACAGACACCGACATTCGAAACATCAACAAAGTCGCCAAAAGGAAGAATGTATTTGAGTTGCTATCCAACTCTCTTGCACCTAGCATATACGGACACGATTATATCAAGAAAGCGATCTTGCTGATGCTCTTGGGTGGAATGGAGAAAAATCTCGATAACGGCACGCATCTGCGTGGTGACATCAATATCCTCATGGTCGGTGATCCATCGACCGCCAAATCGCAACTCCTTCGTTTCGTCTTGAATACAGCACCCCTCGCAATCGCAACCACAGGTCGGGGCTCTTCGGGAGTCGGTCTGACAGCCGCTGTCACCTCTGATAAGGAGACTGGGGAGCGTCGTTTGGAGGCCGGTGCGATGGTCTTGGGTGACCGCGGTGTTGTTTGTATTGATGAGTTCGACAAGATGAGTGATGTGGATCGAGTGGCTATTCACGAGGTGATGGAACAGCAGACGGTCACTATTGCCAAAGCTGGCATTCACACAAGCTTGAACGCTCGTTGCAGTGTTTTGGCAGCCGCTAATCCTATCTACGGACAATATGACCCTCACAAAGACCCTCACAAGAACATCGCCCTTCCTGATTCGCTTCTCTCACGTTTCGATTTGCTTTTTGTTGTGACGGACGATATTGAAGATGCCAGGGACAGAATGGTCTCGGAGCACGTCTTGCGCATGCACCGTTACCGTCAACCTGGAACCGAGGAAGGTGCCCCGGTTCGGGAAGACCTCAATCAAACCTTGGGTGTTGGGCTTGAAGATAACCAGGACTCCAACCAGCCGACGGAGGTGTACGAAAAGTTCAATGTTATGCTCCATGCCGGAATGGCCAACTCGAGCCGCAAGGGCAAGGGCATTGAAATTCTGAGCATTCCCTTCATCAAGAAGTACATTCAATACTCCAAATCGAGAATTAAGCCAGTCCTCACTAAGGGCGCTGCCGATCATATTGTTGCGACATACTCGGCTTTGAGAAATGACGAGCTCTCGGGCAATCAGCGTCGAACATCCCCTATAACCGCGCGTACGCTTGAGACATTGATTCGTTTGTCCACGGCGCACGCGAAGGCTCGCTTATCGAACCGAGTCGAGGAGCGAGATGCCAAGGTTGCCGAATCTATTCTGCGCTTCGCTATGTTCAAGGAAGTTCTTGAGGATGAACGCCGCAAGAGGAGGAAGGTCACAACGTTCGACGAAGACTCTGAATCGAGCGAATCCGACTCTGATGATGACAATGCTCCCGCAAATACAACTGCCACGCCACGGTCGAGCCGGCGAGTTGGAACAATGCGAACACGTTCAGCAGCTACGCGGTCCACAAACGGGGACGAGATGGATGCTGACGGAGACGTTGTGTCGGAAGACGGGGACGGTTTATACTCTGCTAGCCCTCGAGGCCAGCGACTTCGTTCAAGCCAGACAAACCGTACGCAGACGCAGACAGATAGCCAATCTCGGATGTCCGTTGCTTCTTCGCAACCGGCGTCGCAGCTCGTCCAGTCTCAGACCGATGATTCACAATCACAGAATGCCATGAGGTCTACTACTTCGTCCCAGCCAATCCAACCTGCGCGCTTGACCGTGTTCCGTCAGGCTCTGGGCCCACTCATGGGCACCCGGCTCTTCACTCACGGCGACACCGCCGATGTGGAGGAGCTCATTGGAGCAGTTAATACCGCTGTGCGGGAATCTCCCTCGCTCGGAGCAGGCCATGTCTTCCAGCGAGCAGAGGCAATTGAGGCACTGAAAGCAATGAACGAAAGAAATGAGTTGATGTAAGTCATCCGACAGATATTTTAACATGAGCGTCAAGCCTGACTAACATTCTTTTGCACACAGGTTCCTCGAAGACGATGAGACAGTTTACAGGATTTAAAGCCAATGATTATTGCATACTAGTGGTTAGAATAGTGTTTCGGGAAGGGTTGACGGATTTTCAGTCCAATACGTTGAATTGCGCCGGAGACTCAGTATGGCGTATCGGAGTTTTTTTCTTTACTTGTTGTATGCAAGTGACACAATAGTCTGTCCATGTATGAAAATAAGGTCTTTCAATGCATAGCCCCTGGCATAAGGTTTCATGCTCATTGGAATTGAATTTAAGCAAAACGCTCCGTGATTCTAGATATATTTTCTGCTTGTATGTCGAAAGAACGTTCAGTCAATCTAGAGCTATACAGGCACGGTAGAGAAGAAATCCATATATTGACGAGAATTTGAAATTCCATTTTAGATACATCGACACAAAATCCATACAATGCATGCGATGGTTCTAATTAGGGTATATGATGAACATGGGATGCTTCCAAACTACACCGAGGGACTAGCTTCGCGCGACTGTGTGCCCTCGCGACTCTCGCCCAAGAACGAATCGTCGGACGAGAGCGACGGCGTACTATAGATGCCCTCCCTGATCTGCGCTTGGGTCAAAGGCGACAGCCCGCGAGAAAGTGATTTCGTGCCTTTCTTTTTCCGTAGCTGCATGCTCTGTTCCGAAGCAGTGGAAGACGGGTTGTGCTTCCCCGGCGAGGACGGCTGCTGACGGAAGAGCGAGACGGCGGACGATCGTCGATGTCCACTGGTGTCGTACTACGGGATGGGGTGCGGGAATGGGACTCAGAACGCGCGCCACGTCGCGTGGGAGATTTGAGATCGTGGGCGTGTTTGGAGATGCTGGAGTGATGATTATGGTGATGACGATGCTTGTCTCCGTCGCTGGGCTTGAGGGTTGCGGCGACGAGTCGTCGGCGTTGTGAGGCCTTCCAGCCTAACCCGAGCCCGAGCCACCAGAACCAGCCACCTTCTTGTTGAGCGAGTTGGCGCTCCTTCTGGCGCAACTTCTCGCGCAGTTGAGCGCGTCGCTCGTTCTCTTTTTCCCAAAACTCGGTTCGATAATCATCCCAGTTCTCGCGGAATTCGGGCGAGAAGGATTTGGGGAGAAGAAGCAGGCGGATGTAATCACCCCCGGGGCTGAGATCTTCCTCCACAAGGCCCGATTCACTGTCGACGTTGTTGTAATACTGCTGGTAGTGCTGCCGACCACCACGCTTGTCCGACGACGGGCGCTCGATGTAGTGGAAACTCCCGGTTGGAGCAGGGAAGAAAGGAGAGGTGAATGGGAAGAGAAAGGAAAGGTAGGATAGCAGTTCCTGCCACCAGGGGCCCCGGATGATGACGATCTTGGTGTTCATGGTGCGTAGGCCGCGGTTGGCGACGGCGAGCCAGCGCCGTGGCCATCGCACTCCCCGTTCCCACTGTCCTGTTCCCCAGACTAACAACGCAGTGACGATTCCTCCTATAAGCGCGACCTTTTCCCCCATTTCGACCATCCAGTAAATGGAGCCGCCCACCCCGCTGCCATCTTCCCGCGGACGAAGGAAGAGCGCGTAAGCAAAGTAGGCAATCCAGGTAGCCAGCAGGAGCAGGAAAAAGGTATTCTGTCGTCGGCGTTCCCGCAGCGCCAGATACTGAGCTCGCAGCGAACTTTCGAGAATGAGAAGGTTCAGGTAGATTTGAGGAGGAGACGAGGGCAACGTCGAGAGCAGATCCGGGGTCGATGAACGGGGCGGGGAGGAGGGATCCGGGGCGTCTGGAGAAAACGGCGGCTGAAGGGTGTTCAATTGACCAGAAGGTTTGGATATGGACTCTGGAAGACTTCCAGGAGCTGGAGAACCCTTGACAAGCTGATCCAGGCTACGGGTTTGTGCAGCCATGACGCTGTGGAGGGAGGGGAGAAGGATCGACAGGAGAAGATCCCTTTGCAAGTAGAAGAGGATATTGTAGACTTCTAGAGGGACTGCACGGCCTTTGCGGCCAGACGCGCTTTCATCGCATGAGACGGGGGAAACGAAGCCAAAGAAGAAAGTCGATAAGGTTGACAATAATAATGTTTCCGGCTCATCCAGCTACAGTATCGACTAGCTCCACGAAAAAGAGGAGAAGAAAATCAGCCGGATCATTGTCATCATCGTCTCCACTCAACGTTCCTCAGCTATACGTTTTTTGCCATTCAATCAATCTTATCTCATCGCATTTATACGACTTATGATACCCTACAAATGATTTTACCATCGTTGAAACTCTAAACAGTCCTGGTTCCTCCAACTTCGTCATCATTCCGGCTGCCTGTTGAGCTTCGGGGATAAGCGGTCTTTGGCTTCGTTTCTGACCGCTGCAAAACGCCCACCTGGCCTTCCATTGCTGACGGATTTATGACCTCTGCGCCCCTTTCCTATAAATATTCTTCTTGTCTCCTTTATGCGAGTGACAGGGATACGTTCTCTGTCGCTCTGGACTACATCGCGACAAGCTGTCCGCCGTGCGACTTCCTTCACTTTCTTCCCAGGTCTGCCGACCCTGGACGTCATTTGAACCGCCCCGTCTCCTTTCTTCGCCACTTCCCGCAATTCACCTACGCTACACATCCTCAATGACTTCGGAATCGCTGAGTTCGTCTAAGGACGACCTTCATGATAGAGCCCACCAAGGTCCGTATGTCTCTCAGCAAGAGAGCACGCCATATGCCGCCCGAGGGGCTAACGCAGCTGCAGTGCGCTCCTCGTGGTTTCCACTAGGCTACAGAGAAGGCTTCAATCAATGGGTAGGTTCCTGAAATTCGGGAGATGATAACCAAAGTTGTTGCACAAGTCACTGAGATCTGGTTCCAGTGGGCTAGCTTGCCAGCTGCGGCAGCAGAGCATAAAGTCCTTTCTTTCTTGCCCTATCTCCAGCATGAACCTCCTACGCATTTGCAGACCGGAAAGACCACCACTCAACGCGATGGTGTGGCTCAAAGTCTGCAGTCGGCCGATCTCAGCCAGCAAGGTGAAGTATCGGCCAATTCCACCGACGATCCGTACGGACCGAGACTATGGCGCTCCAGCATGGTTGAATTGAGCGGTAAGGACAGGGCTCTAAATGAGTTCTCAGTGGAGAGAGTTGGTGAGGAAGCGGACCAACATTTGGTCATGCTTCACGGATATGGTGCGGGGCTGGGCTTCTTCTACAAGAATTTTGAGCCTCTAAGCCGGCTGAAGGGGTGGCAACTGCACGCGTTGGATATGTTGGGCATGGGCCGCAGCACCCGACCACCGTTCCGCATCAAGGCTAAGAACAGAGAGGATGCTATCAAGGAGGCGGAGGATTGGTTTGTTGATGCACTGGAGGAATGGCGCGTGAAGCGCAAGATCGAACGCTTCACACTGCTTGGCCACAGCATGGGAGGATATATGGGTGTCGCTTATGCCCTGAAGTACCCCGGTCGTTTGAACAAGCTGATCCTTGCCTCTCCGGTGGGGATTCCCGAAGATCCTTATGCTGTTTCTGCGGCTATGCCCGAACCATCCGAGTCCAGTTTAGCCCAAGAGTTCACCCAGGACCAGCAAACTATCGCACAGACATCGTTGTCTGTCCCCCCGGAAGTAGCCCAGAAAGGCGACAACAACGTCCTGCTCAAAGGCTACGGTAACGCAGCGACAGCGGCACCACCGGAGAGCCGACCGGCCCGCCGCAACATCCCCAAGTGGTTTGCCTACCTGTGGGAAGCCAACATCTCTCCCTTCAGTCTGGTACGGTGGGCTGGCCCTCTCGGGCCCCGCATCGTATCTGGCTGGACCTCTCGGCGCTTCTCCCATTTACCCGCCAACGAAGCAAAAGCTCTACACGACTACTCCTATTCGATCTTCAGTCAACGTGGCAGTGGAGAGTATGCTCTTGCATATATCCTAGCTCCAGGAGCCTTCGCGCGTAGCCCTCTGATTCGGCGCATCCAGAACGTCGGACGGCAGAACATTCAGCCTTCGGCCTCTGGCTCGGAGCCTGCGACAGTCACGGACGCCTTTCCCTCGCAACCGCCTTCTGACTCGGCGACTCAGGCTTCTCCACCCCCAGCTAAGCGCGAGACCGGTATTCCCGTCGTTTTTATGTATGGGGACCACGACTGGATGGATGCGGCGGGAGGCCTCGCAGCCAAGGCCAAGATTGAAGAGGAGAAACGGCGGCTGCTCCAGAATGCTTCACCAGAGGAGCGTGAGGCGGATAATGGCTCGGCCAAGGTGGTAATCATCAAGGGATCAGGTCATCATATCTACCTCGATGGATGGGAGGAATTCAACAAAGTGGTATTGGAGGAAATGGAAGAGGTGAGCCAAAGGGAAAGGGCTCGGAGTCGGACATGACGCAAGAGACGCACTGTTTATCTTGAGCGATATACCTTTTCCCCTACAGTAATGATTCCCTTGTTTCTAGATAAACTTTGCAAATTCTGCGTCAAGAAGAGTTGGACATACGGAGTGTATTATTAGTGTATAGTTAATAGATATGGTGAAATGGCCTCAGTCGCTAGAACCCATGAGTTGCAGATGCATAATCACTCACTGGTCAATTTTTAAATCCAATCGCTAATATGCAAAACTACCAAAACGCTTTCGTTGAAATCATCTCAAAATCAAGAACCAAATCAATCAAAAGGTCCGGTCTCTATTCAAAGAAGGACTGGGTAATTGCGATCCAAGATTGGCCCCCGATACACTTCGTCTACGATATCTCACACCTGTAGGATAATGGGCCATGAATCTTCCTATACTACGGGGCGTTGTGCCGGATCGATCCTCGACTGGTGTCGTCGTGCCCGTTGAGACTGCACTCCCGCTGCTATTCGCTCCATTGCCCGGTCGGAAAGTAAAGTAACCCCCCGGGGCCTCGGATGAACTCGATAGGTGCAATTGAGAATGTGTCTGCGGCGCACTGGCCATAGCACGGAAGAAATCAGAATATGTCGAAAACGACGATGCGTCCTGGGACTGTGGCCGCGGAGAGAGACCTCGGGAGCGCGCCCCCGAGCCGGCCGGTAAATGGAACTCTGACCTGTTTGACCGAGATGCTGATGGAGAAGTAGGAGCCTGGCGAGTTTGACTTGGGATGAGGGAGGTGGTTGCGGAACGGTGATGATGGCGCTGCCTGCGTCCATCGGGACTGCGAGAGGCGGCCTGGCTGTGTCTCCAGGGCAGAATGTCTGCTGTTTCGGGGTGGTTCCGCAGTGGAAAGGGGTGTGAGGGGAGTTCTAGACGATCGTTGATTGAGAGCCAGGCGCGCTCATCTGCCTCGTCGCTTACGCTGTCCTTTGAGGAGGACGACGCGGACCTGGAAAGACGGCCCTGCGACCTTGCAGATGGTGGGCAGCGCCAGCCGCCCACGCCTTCGAAGTCCCGGCCTTCATCTCCGCTGATGAGAGTCAGAAGAGCAGATGGCGGAGTAGTAAGCCCGTTCCTGCGCAGCTCTTCCTTGCGGACAGGCCGGCCATAGTCGCCGCCAGGGTGCCCGGTTGAAGAATTCGAACTATTTCGCCGTCGAGCCGGCGCCGGCCGAGTGTGCCCTCGAGAAAAGGGCGCTATTTGGCGATGGTTGCCGTGGTGCGGCAATATCGCTGTGATACCATGATCAATGGATCGCCTCTTGGGCGTGGCAGAGGCGGCGGGGGTGGTCGGTTCAGAGGCAAAACTCAGCAATGATGACTTGCTTGATGTCGGAATCACAAAGTAGTTTGAGACTATAGCAATGCATAGCTCAACGTAAATGACCAAAAGGCGTAAAAACAAAGTCAGTACGGAGAGACAGATGGTGATATATGCCGAGACGACTAGAGGTAACGAAACCAGTGCCAAAAAAGGTACTGTCAACAAGTTGGAGCACGTGGTTGACATGGAGACTAAACGCAGAAGAGGTTCAGTATGAGATTGGAAGATAGTGAATGACTTGGACGGGATAGAAGGATATATTCCATCACATCACCAGAATTCTAATCGGGGAAAGCGAGCCACGACATCATGAGAGTCTACGATGGCGATGGAGCTTAAAAGTACTGTGCTTCTCCTTGACAGCAACAAAGTGCGGAGAAAAAGCATGTGATACTGATACATCGATGGGCTAAATGTTCGATGCCATTGATGCCCCAGGCAGTAATTTACTGTTACGGTATCGGTATTTCCAGCATATTCTGGGTACCATTACATCACAGCATTCAGTTTCACTCTAAACTGTCTCCTATCATACTACCACGAGATCAACGCATATGGACGGGAGAACATGCCTGAAAATGAGCATGACAAGATCACCGATTTTCCTTGGGAGTTTGGTGTCTACGATGCTCATTGCCACCCCACGGACACCATTTCGTCAATATCTGATATTCCAAGGATGAAAGCAACGACGCTCACAGTCATGGCCACTAGAGCAGAGGATCAGGGCCTTGTATTTCAGATAGCAAAAGACCTTAGCAATGAAAAATTGACTGTTCAGAATGCTGAGATGGATCGTGTGCTTCCATGCTTTGGATGGCATCCATGGTTTTCACACCAAATCATCGACGACCAGGAGTCATCATCAGAGGCAGCGCAGGGCGCCTCAGATCTTGAGAGCAAGAAAACACATTATCAAAAAGTCCTAACACCAGCTCCAGAAGATGAAGAATTTATTTCTTCTCTACCTGATCCAAAACCTCTCTCGCAATTCATCTCCGAGACACGCGAACGGCTACTATCTTTTCCACATGCTCTGGTTGGCGAGGTGGGCCTTGATCGTGCTTTCAGACTTCCAAAGGCCTGGACCCAGCAGGAGGCTGAGAATCGGAACGTGCAAATAACGCCCGGATCTCGTGAAGGCCGGAAACTCTCGCCCTACAGGGTGCACCTGGAACACCAAAAAGCTATTCTTAAAGCCCAGCTTCGCCTCGCCGGGGAACTTCGACGAGCAGTCTCAGTGCACAGTGTCCAAGCACATGGAGCGGTGTTCGATGCCTTCAAGGAGCTATGGTCCGGCCATGAGCGCAGAGTACCCTCGCGACGGGAGAGACGACGACGTCTTAGCGTTGAAGGAGCTCACGCAGAGAGCGACGCGGAAGACGAGCAAGTGCAAAAGTCACTAAAGCACGAAGGTCCACCTCTCCCATATCCACCCCGGATCTGTATGCATTCGTATTCAGGTCCCGTGGAGCAATTGAAGCAATTTCTGAACCCTTCAAATCCCTCGGACGTCTACTTCTCCTTTTCCAACGTGATCAATTTCAGCGGGCCGTCCTCTCAGAAAGTCATCGCAGTTATCAAAGCTTTGCCGGAGGACAGAGTGCTCATTGAGAGTGACCTTCACACTGCTGGACAGCAGATGGACGATTTGCTCGAGGAAGTTGCTCGGCAGATTTGTGAGCTCCGTGGCTGGCCTTTGCAGGAGGGGGTCCAACGACTGGCAGACAACTGGAAACGGTTTGTGTTTGGGTAGCTACAGTGTACACTGCTTCATGTTCGAGCTGATTCATCTGCCCAACCTTTGTACATACATTTACAGCAATCATAGAGAGTACAAGGTCAACAAGGTCTGTTTAAGCATACCATAGCCACAGTCTCTGTTCAAGAGATCGTGTCTTTGGAAGAGAGATGTTTTCCTGCATCAAGCTCAACACAACAGGTATGAACGTAAACCAAGAATCACTGGGTTCGACTTTTCGAGTCTCCTGGCTTGAAGATTGTGAAGATGTGGGCAGCTCCTCGGTACAGACACAGACCGCAGCTGATAACAGCTTCGCCGACGGAAAACTGCTGGTTTCGACGATGGCCTTTTCTCGCTGTCTTCAGCCAACAAGACCCTCTTGGCGCACTCCAAAACGCACATTGAAACGACAATGTCAAATGTCGTTCCGATGTCGCACATTCCATTATCAAACAAAATCCCCCGAACCGCGCCTTCTCCGCACCTCCACGTGACCCTCCCCAGACGCAAACTTTCCCCACTTTCATTATCGGTCTTCTCTTTATCGCTATTCCTGCGATTTCTCGCTCGGCACTTGCCTATCTCCCACTTCTACTCTTCTCTCTGATTGTTTGGATCATGTCGGGTTCCTGAATCGATCTCCCAATTCCGGACCTCTCGCGGCTTCACATAATGAGGAAGAAAGTCTATGGGCCTTGAATCTGCCTCGATGCTTTTGCTATGTCATCCACAGCGCAGAATAGCCTTTCACCCACCGGCAATGGTGTGACCAAGCGCAAGTCAGGTAGACAATACCTCTGTCGACTATAATTGTTTCCGTAATGTTCTTGTCGATATCGATACTGATTTTCCTTTGGCTTAGGCTCTGCAGCCTGCGTCCACTGCCATCGGCGCAAAGTCCGGTGTGACGCACGTATAGTTGGCCTGCCCTGCTCCAACTGCCGCTCCTCAGGGAAAACAGACTGCCGCATCCATGAGAAGAAGAAGCGTCTTGCGGTACGCTCCATCCTGAATCCTGTTCCCATTCGTTGTCGGCCACCGTCCATCTCCGAGCATGTTCCCGAAGCGTCTCCTCCATCTACCATCAGCGAACCAACCGCTTTCACAACTGCTTTTCGCGGAGTTCAGCCAGAAGCAGCAGCCCCTCCGGCGAGCGTCGTTCCGAGTGTCCAGTCCAAGGCACAACATGTCCACAGCAATAGTTATAGTCACACGTCTCCACAAGCACAGGAATGCCGTCTTCCGCCCGCTTCGGACCGTTTCGCCGAACAGGATGCCCATGCCGACTTTGAGAAGCGACTGGTGAAGCTCATTGATGATGAGGAAGGGTCAGGTACTCGGGAAATTCAGCGGGGCGTGCGAGCAATCTATGTTGGACACGAGCTGTCGAACATGTCCTTCTTGATACGTCAACAGCGTGATAAGGATGACGACGTATATCACTTTGCTGGCAGCGAGATACCGCGGCGACAGTTGAAAACCGGTCACGACCAGCTTCTCGTAGACGCTCTGACCCTACCAGAGCCGGCCCTCGTCGACGAGCTTGTCCAGGCATACTTCACCCACGTGAACCCGGGATATCCCATTGTTGAGGAGGATCAGTTCATGACTCAGTACCGCAATAGAGACCCTTCTGATCCACCACCTATCTTGCTTCTGCAAGCCATTCTGTTAGTTGGATGCCATGTCACGCATCCAAAAGAAGAGCGCGATACTCTGAAGGACATTTTCTTCCGTCGCGCGAAATGGCTCTTTGACAATCGCATTGAGCGCAACCGTGATACCTTGGTGCAAGCTGCGCTGCTCTTGACGTGGCATTCAGAAAGCCCCGATGATGATGTTTCTGCCAATGCCCACTACTGGGTCGGTGTTGCTGCTCGAATCGCGACTGGCCTCGGCATGCATCGAAATCCAGTCTCGAGCAGGTTCGTTCCCCGGGACCGCCGGATGTGGAGAAGGCTATGGTACATACTGGTTCAGTTAGATGTTATGGTCTCCCTTTCGTATGGTCGACCTCAAGCTATGTAAGTGTGCTAGCGCGGATCTGAGTCTCAATGCCCGCTCTAATCTCTCTGTGCGCCAGAAACCTCGAAGACTCCGATGTCTCTCCGTTGACAGCCTCTGATTTTGAAGGCTGCGGGGCCCGTGTCCAGACGGACTATGTCATTCATTTTTCAGAGCTTTGCACAATGATCTCTTATATTGTGCGCGAGCGATTCGGACTACGAGTCAGTTCGGAGCGTCGCAAAGCCGCATTGCAAGAAGCAGATGAAGCTCTTGCGAACTGGTCTTTGCGGCTTCCAGACAATCTGCGGCTGCGTGCCTCGGATATGGATCCTTGGTCCGCCATGCTTCACTTGACCTACAACAATTTTCTAATCCTTCTCCATCGGCCCATCCCAGGGCGTCCGCGTACTCCGACGACTACGGCCCACATGATGCAGAGATTTGCAGTGCAGCCGCCGGTGTCATCGCATCTATCTTCGAAGAACTCCGCTTAAACGATCGTCTCAAGTATCTATGGTATTCCGTCGTCCATACCCTCTTCACGGCGATGATCCAAGTTCGAGTCGAGCTGCGGTTCTCAAACCCTGTCTTAGCCATTAACGCTCTGCGCCGCTTCGATTCCGCCTCCTACTCACTCCGCGAACTAGCCAAGTACTGGTCGCACGCCACCACTATTCTACGCCTCTTCGAAGATTCGAAACGTCTACAAGAGGATCTTCGCCTGGCAACAAGCGAAAGATCCAGACCCTTCAGCAGCACGCACGACCAACCCCAGACCCAGACCCAGAACCAAACCAAGAACCAGAATCAACACACTTCAACAAACACAGCTGTGCAACCACCACAACCAGATCGGCCCCTGCCCTCCTACGATGCCCCCACCCCGGACTCCACGTCTCTACCACCAACCGCTATCTCCCCGCACCAGAACCAAACCTTCGACAGCTGGATCCCATCCACGAACCTGGCAACTGTCGATCCGATAGATCAGCCAAGGGAATTCCTGGACTGGCGCCAGCTCTTCTCCTTCACGGATCCGGACCAGTCTGTACTGCCGATGAGCATGGATGGGCTCCTGGAGCTGGAAGATGAATGGCGCCAGATCTACTGGCAGGAGACGCCGATGTCAGATCTTCTCCAGGATGGAGGATGGATGCACGGCTAGCGCTGCTTGGATGGTTTGATGAACGATATATCACGAATGATACCTAGGATTTTAACTTGATGTCCTCAATTTGCGCACAACGTATCTTTATATGGAAATAGTCTCTCCACAATGAACTTTCACTCTGTCTTAGATCTACCAATGCACAAAAAGCATGCTCGATGTTTCCCGACATATGTCCAGAAAGTTAGCATCTCATCTGGCCCATTCGAATCAAGACATCCACATAGGCGCCAATATCAAAATCCGATCATTCTTCAAGGACAGCGAAGTCCCACCTCTTTCTTTCTATTAACTACTTGGCCCACCATATCACCCAAGAGATACTCATAAGTCACAAATCACCAACAAGTGGCATATATGGATACATATGATGATTCCGTATTTTCGCGACCAACTGCCCTCCCATAATCAAACAACGAAAATCCGAGAGATGACTGTGCTGTAAGTATGAAAAGAAATGGTTTCCACACGACACATTTCCTATGAAAGTGTACAGACACCGTCGCGAAGGGAACATATAGCGAAAAAGAAAACAGAGAGGCCGCGGATGAAAACAGCAGAAGCACACCAATGATCAAAGGGGTAAGTAAAAGTAAAAGAATTCAAAAGCGCATCCGAACTGGTCCTGTTTACCTCTCTGTCGATTACCTCATGAATAGCCCAATGTTTCGTACCATGTCATAAAATGTTGCGCAGAGAGACAACCCTCAAAGAACGTTAGGAGAATCCCCACAAACAATTCGAGACTCTGTTCCAACGCAGACTCGACCCCCGAAACAAGGGTAGCACCGTCTCAGTCTCCGAGGGTATATTCTCATTCTGACAGCGCAGGATTTGTAGTGTGTGAGAGTCTTGCGCGGGGGACTCTGTCACACACGATGTATTTAGTACGAGTCGCCTCCTGCGCCATTGTGAGGCTGGCCGACCATCGAAGGGTAGCCATAGGCTGAACTGTCCTGTTCGGAGGGGTCCAGACCAGGGTTCATGATGTTGTTTGTGTTATCTGCCGTTTCAGGAAAGCCGCCGGAAGCCGATGCACCAGGTCGTCCACCTTGCGTGCCGGATCCGCCCACGGGCCCTCCAGCATTGTAGCCGCTGCTCGTTGGCCTATTCTGATGTTCGCCACGGGCGGACTGAGTCTGGAGGAGTACTTAGCACAGGATACTACAACCCACCAGACCACCAACCGTTGGTGGGGAGACAGGCCGCCTGAGCGTGTTGTACAAGTCTTACCTCGCGATACTTTGACAAGTAGATCTTGAGCGCTTCCGCGTAATTTTCGAAGCCAAGTGAGGTCATGGCGAACAGAATATCCTCCCCATTTACCGTCTTGCGTTTCTCTTGCTGGCACTTTTCAGAGGCTGTAGAGAACAAGGCGCAATCATACGTTAGTCAAATGGACAGGTACCAGCAGCCAGATGCAACACTCACCCTCACTGGTGATAAACGAGATAAACTCGCTGACACACTCTTGCATGCACTCCTTGGCTTCTTTGGCGATCTTCGCGTTCTCTGGCAAGGCCAGCTTCATGATACGGGCCACTTGACAGTAGATGTTAGCACATGTAGCTGTTTACCCATCATTCCTCCAAACTTGCGTGGGATAATTGCGTAAACACTTTGAGCGGCGCAAAAAGAACGCCATCGCACAATAGGTATCTGACGAAGATTATATCGCCGCAGATAAGAAAGGCGCTTCGTGTGCAGAGCTACACTCGAACCGCAGGCGAATGGGGGTCTCCACAGTGCGATGCTTGTTGGTTAAGGAGGCAGGTTGGGGTATTGTAAATGGATGGACGCAGGGTACGGCAAAAGTGAAGTAGGGCAGACGGCTGTTGGCCAGCAGTTGGATGTAAGGTACGCGCAAATCAGGAGGACAAGGGAAGCTGCAAGGGAACGCAACTAACCATTCGCAATCGGAAGCCATCGATCTTGCTCCTTCACCTCGAATTCTCCCTGGTTCTGTGTCTGTTCCTGGTCCTTATCCATGTGTTCTTGGTCTTCACCTGATTGCGCTTCCTGATCCACCTCAGGCTCTTTCGAGGGAGAGGCCGACATGATTTTTAGCTATAGGTATACGCGCAGCGGATACTGGATAGGGTATGTGATAAGGAGTCGTCTATTTGCTCTGCTGGCAGACCACGTCAGAGATGCGTGCCTCGGGGTATCGAACTCGGGCGCTATGATACACTCGCGTCAAAATGCAAAATAGAGTTGTGTCTGGCTGGGCAGCGATTCGCTTCACGGCAGCCTGAACGTAGAGGCACAAGTGTCAGCAGTGCGGGGACAAGCAATTGTTTCTGCTATAGCTTCTGCCCTGACGATATAATCAAGGCGCGAGAGATCTGTTATTCAAGGAAAGACGCGACAGGTAAGATAGTGACTCGATCAACCAAATCTGATTTGTTGCGAGTCGCAAGGATAAGTTAGTCCAAAAATTCGGAACGATAAAAATGTTAATTTTATTCCCTGCCACCTTTCGCGTGTGTGGTCCGCCTTACAGCACTGCAAAGAGGAGTGGTGCACTGGTAACGTCAATTAGGTATGCGGGATGCTCCAACACGGGAGATCTGGAAACCCGGAGAACACTCACAGTGACGCGGGTCTTCCGTGCGTAGCAACCAATGCAACAGTGGTGGGTCGAGTTGATAGTGGCACGTTGCGCAGAGGCAGATGAACGATCCACGGGAATCGGGGGAAGAGACTAGATACCTTCGAACAAACGGAAGCTTCTGTTTCGGTTGTATTTCGTCTGTTTCGTCCACTTAGGAGCTGAGCTTGTCCAGTAGATATTTCAGGATTCTGACTGGAGACGGATGCGATGCGCGCAAGATGTCAATTGGCGAACCAGGAACGTGTGGGCAGACCAGGGGAACTCTCACTGGTCGCTGGAGAACGCCAATGAGATTTGTGGAAATCAGAATAATGAAGACACTCTTTCAGACAAGGTTGAGCGAACTTTGATGAACTACTTGGTCACTTCGAGCGGGTGGATTGATTCGCCTGATGACTCGAATGAGAGATGGACGGTTGACGAGCTGAGACACATGAAGTGCAGGGACTCCAAGGAGGGAACCCATAGCTGGCCTCAGGCGTCCGTTTACAATGTGATAACAATAAATTACGACAATGACCTCGTGATGCCGCGAGATCCGCCGACCATACTCCACACAGTATGTATTATACGGAAATGCACGTGATTATTCGTATTGCTGCGTGATGGCGATGGCAATGATGGCCTAGAAAAGCTCTTGTTTGCTTGATCCAAATAATGACTGGCATACTCTCATGGTCCTCAGATGTGTAATGAATAACCTGATATCTTCTTTGAAGTGACAGCAGGGCGAGTACAACTCATTGATGAGGCTGTGTTCTGAGCGCTCTGCATTTCAGGCACACACATGTTGCCTGTCAGCAGCCAAGGTCCAGCCTGAAGATTTTGACTCGACGCAGGACTCATCACAAAATCGTTCGGACGTGAGACCAGGAGGAGGTATCAGGCATCAATGACAGCATGATATCAGGAGCAATCTGACACATAGGACTATGAAGGTCGCAAGGTGTTGACTCGCCTCATGGACATGACAAAAGTACCGGGCATCATATCTTGCCGAATGCGTGGACAATCAGGTTTTCACCTGAGACGATGCTGCACATGAGCAGCCTGCATTACGTTCGAGGACTCGAGTTGAACGCATGTGTTTGTCAGCTTGGGTGCCAGCAGCAGCTAAACCATTTACACTCGTGCTCCTCTACGGTACCACTGTCTCAAGGCATGCGAGATTCCTATCGGCGATGCCGCCAGTTATTTCTGGAATAATGGAATCGAAGAGTTTCCTGACGGGGCAAAGAGGCACAGTGAGCTGAATGATGTTTGACTAAGGGTTTCACATGGGAGTTCATTATGTCCACAACTAGTAGGTACTAGGTGATTCCATCCTTATAGTAGAACACCGAAGCAGTATGATATCACGTCTTATCCCGCTGAATCTGGTTTCCAGACACGGGAGGATGCACAGCTGTAGGAGCTTCGTCGTATCAATTGACAGATAGCGAACCGACGGCAAGCAACACATTTCATCTCTTCCTTTGAGAGAATGATTAAGTATAAGCCCAGCCAAGTCACAAGGTAGAAAGCTCAGATACGCTCAATGCAGTCACCTCGAGACTCCCGTTAACGCCTTTTCGATTCCGATTCCCGCTCATGGTCGCGAAAGGACATCATGGACATCAAGACCGATAGAAGGATTGAAGAGAAATGGAGGGGTATTTCTGACTGCCATCACAAGAAAAGAGGAAAGCGTTTTTCAATCATGGTTGTACGACCTGGATGTTGTTCTTTTTCTATATAGACAAAAGAAGTCAATCATCAATACCATTAACATGATTTCCGGGCATTGGCAAACTAACCTTCCAATCGTCCAACTCGGACTGTTTGCTCTGATATTGCTTCACAAGTTCGTCAAGCACCTGTTTCAAGCCGTCTGAGTTTGTCTTGAGTGCAGGAAGCACATCCTTGACTGTTCGCTCGACCAAAACTCCGTTTACCATTCGGAAGCACTTGCGGTCCTGGGGGAGGGGTTCGAGTGTCTCAATGACAAGCCTAATAAAGGTCACTCCTGCTAGCATTTTGAAAATGGGAAGGCAAAAGTACTTATGCTCCTCTGCTTCCTGCTCGATGTCGCCAATCTTTTGCGCCATCTGTGTGAGAGTATTCTTGAAGTTCGTATATTGGAGCTGAAGCTCTGCTTCAGATTAGCCTTCGTCACTGCGTGGAAATGAGAAGAGAGCTCGTCGGCGTACCCTGCTGCTTCTTGGGGTTTATTTGAGCTTGACTGGCCATTTTCTGATATCCGATGCTGTCACTCTGTTGTTGCAAAGCTCAAAATGCGATGCGGGGCTGGGTCTCGATTTCCGCCGCGCGGAGAGAAGCAGACTAACTATCTTCTAAAAGTTGCGTCTACGAAGGACAGGCAGGCTACAGTCTGGACAAAATCCCGTTCAGACTCACTACATTTTCCAATATCTTAGACTTGATCTCTAATTGAGCTTGCAAAAAGGTTATTCTCATTGTATTTCAATCTCATGGCCTATTCTGGCCCCTCCATAGATCAAAGCACGTGACATGGATTGCAATTTATTTGCACTGTTTGCCCCATCGGGCGATAATCCACTCCGCAGTTTATCAGAACTTCTACACTTTGCCTAGCACCTGGCTCAAAGCAAGCGCCCGGTGGCCATTCCTGCGCCACTCAGTGTTGTTGTTATTTCAGATATTAATTCGACTCCGTTGGAAGGACTTGTTTGAGTTCCTCTAGCTGTTGTTCCACCATGGCTTCTGACGGAATGCCTCCAGCCAAAAGGCTGAAGAGCTCCAACCTTCCGCCACACCTGCGCGATGCGAAGCGCAAGGACATCGACAACTGGGAAACAAATCGGATGCTCACGTCTGGAGTCGCGCAACGACGCGATTTTGAAGGCGACTTTCTCCCAGAAGATGAAGAAGGTACTCGAGTCCATTTACTCGTCCACGATCTGCGACCGCCGTTCCTGGACGGGCGCACGATATTTACCAAGCAACTGGAGCCTATCTCGGCCGTCCGCGATCCGCAGAGCGATATGGCCGTGTTCAGCCGTAAAGGTAGCAAGGTCGTTCGAGAGCGGCGTCAGCAACGGGAGCGTCAAAAGCAAGCGCAGGAGGCAACAACAATGGCAGGCACGGCGCTGGGAAATATCATGGGTGTCAAGGAAGATGAAGGTGACAGCGCTGTTGCCATGCCCGTGGAGGATACTTATAGAAGTGGGAACAAGTTCGCCCAGCACCTGAAAAAGGATGAAGGCGGACAAAGCTCTTTCAGCAAGAGCAAGACACTCCGCGAACAGAGGGAATATCTGCCTGCATTCGCCGTGCGAGAGGAATTATTACGAGTCATACGAGATAATCAAGTGATCGTGGTGGTTGGTGAGACGGGATCTGGAAAAACGACTCAACTGACACAATTTCTTCACGAGGACGGGTACTCAAAATACGGCATAATTGGCTGCACGCAACCTAGGCGAGTGGCTGCTATGAGTGTTGCGAAACGTGTGAGTGAAGAGATGGAGGTGGATCTTGGCGCCGAAGTTGGTTATGCCATCCGATTTGAGGATTGCACCAGCAAGGATACAGTCATCAAGTATATGACTGACGGTGTACTTCTGCGAGAATCGTTGGTTCAGCCGGATCTGGACAAGTATTCTTGCATCATCATGGATGAAGCACACGAAAGAGCTTTGAATACCGATGTTCTGATGGGCCTTTTGAAGAAGGTGTTGGCGCGTCGAAGGGATCTGAAGCTAATCGTCACCTCAGCCACCATGAATTCAGAACGCTTTTCTCGATTCTTTGGTGGTGCCCCCGAGTTTATCATTCCTGGACGAACTTTCCCGGTGGATCTTCACTTCTCCCGTACCCCGTGCGAGGATTACGTCGACAGTGCGGTCAAGCAGGTCTTAGCAATTCATGTCTCGCAGGGACCGGGGACATACTTGTCTTCATGACAGGTCAGGAAGATATTGAAGTAACTTGCGAGTTGATCGACGAGCGGCTGAAGATGCTTAATGATCCGCCGAAGCTTAGCATATTACCGATATACAGTCAGATGCCAGCCGAGCAGCAGGCGAAGATTTTTGAACGCGCCCCTCCTGGCGTCCGGAAAGTCATCGTTGCCACGAACATTGCCGAAACAAGTTTGACGGTTGATGGGATCATGTTTGTGGTGGATTCAGGATATTCAAAGCTGAAAGTGTACAATCCACGCATGGGTATGGACACGCTTCAGATCACACCTATCTCTCAAGCCAATGCGAATCAACGTTCCGGCCGAGCAGGTCGAACAGGGCCAGGAAAGGCGTACCGTTTGTATACCGGGTCGGCCTACAAGAACGAACTATATATTCAAACGATACCGGAAATTCAGCGAACGAGTCTTTCAAACACTGTTTTGCTTCTCAAATCACTTGGAGTAAAGGATCTCTTGGATTTTGATTTCATGGACCCACCGCCACAGGAGACCATTTCGACATCACTTTTCGAGCTCTGGTCGTTGGGCGCGTTGGATAACCTGGGCGACCTAACTCCGCTAGGTCGTGCTATGACTCCGTTCCCCATGGACCCTCCGCTCGCTAAGCTGCTCATCACGGCGTCTGAGGAATACGGGTGCAGCGAGGAGATGCTGACGATCGTTTCCATGCTCTCGGTTCCTAGTGTCTTCTATCGTCCAAAGGAGCGACAAGAAGAGTCGGATGCGGCGCGCGAGAAATTCTTCGTTCCGGAGTCTGATCACTTGACTCTTCTGCACGTTTACACGCAATGGAAATCCAACGGTTACTCCGATGGATGGTGTATCAAACACTTCCTTCACCCCAAGGCTCTGCGACGGGCCAAGGAGGTCCGCGAGCAACTTCATGATATTATGACAGTTCAGAAGATGCGACTTGTAAGCTGTGGGACGGACTGGGACGTGATCCGCAAGTGCATCTGCTCCGGCTTCTATCATCAAGCGGCCAAGGTTAAGGGTATCGGCGAATTCATCAACCTTCGGACAAGCGTGAGCATGCAGCTCCACCCCACGAGCGCTCTGTATGGCCTAGGTTATGTGCCAGAATATGTGGTCTACCACGAATTGATCTTGACAAGCAAGGAGTATATGTCGACTGTGACTGCAGTGGACCCACACGTAAGTTGGACCATCTTCATCTGACACAGTGAAGCAGCAGAGGCTAACCTCGAGAATGTAGTGGCTCGCCGAACTTGGTGGTGTCTTCTACTCTGTCAAGGAGAAAGGCTATTCCCAGCGAGAACGTCGCGTCACCGAACAGGAATTCAATCGACGCATGGAGATCGAGACCCAGATGGCCGCCGACCGGGAGCGCGCCGCGGCCGAGAAGCTACGAGAGCAGGAGCGCAACGATCCCTCCAGACGCAAGAAGGAAGTAGAGGCGGGATCTGTTGTGCGACGTCCTGCTGTTACCGGCGCACGAAGAATTGGTGGTGTCACCGCATCTTCGACCACGAGAAACGGCACCAATGGAGCAAGTGGAGGAACCGTGGTCAAGAAGCCACAGATCAAAAGGAAACCCGGACGAGCATTTTAGCATCATGTTCAAGCATAGACATATACCCGATGTACAAATTTAGAAGAGTTCATTCAAAGAGCGGGCTCTGAACTCTATCATAGATAGAATGCGATGCCATTCTGGCGCAGCTATTGGGTATCCAGCCATCAGTAGCACTTTAATCGCGACACTGCAGTAAAGGCCAATAAAGTACAGTCTCATGATTAATCCCGGTGAAGCTCACAAAGTACCGCGTAGGCCCTGAAGAAGCGAAGACAAACGACCTTCCATCTCGCAAGCGGACTACTACCGGTATCCTCTCAAACTCCACCGAATATCCCGCCGCCAACAGCCTCGCGCTCAATTGATGAAATTGATACAGAAAAAGTGCAGAATCAAGCTCCCGAAGATGTAATCCGCAAACGCCCTACCAGCAGCAGACCAGTCAGTCAGCAATCGTCATCTCACATATTCCTAGCATCCAACCAACGAAAAAAAAAACAAAAAACAAAAAACAAAACTCACCTCTCATGAGACACCGCACCCTGCTCCTCCCCGCCTTCCAACGCCGCAAACCGCGCATTCTTCCCCTTCGAACTGGGCTTACTGTTTCCCCCCTTCTGCTCGCTACTCGTCTGCATGCGCAAACTAGCCGTTAGCACGAACTGGCCGACCGCGGCGCAGAACCCACTCAGAAAGGCATTGAAGGGCTATCGAAGCAATCACTCGTCAGCATCCCATCTCAATGTGTATGACGCCCAAAGGAACGGGGAATGGGTCTTACGTAGTTTCCAGCCAAAACGCAATAGAGGAATTGCGCAGCGCCGACAAACAACAAAAAAACCATGAAGGCATCAAGCATCATGGTGCGCTGCGGCGTTGTGGTGAGGTACTGCTGCCATACATGGTGGGCGATTTGGTATACGGAGGAATTCGAGGATAGGACTGCTGGGCCGGAGGAGAGGGAGGAGGAGCCGGGGGTTTGTGTTCGTTTGGGAGGCATGCTGGTCAATTGTATCAGGGATGAATTGAGGACGTCTAGGACAGATGAGTCGGCAGAGATGATGCGGCGTGACTTGGAGTGGAAGTTTCGGTGTCGAATCTCTGGTTGACAAGTGCGGATGAAGCTACTGTGTACACAACCCGACAGAGAACATACTAAGGCCATAACTCTGCTCCACCTGCCGTTGATTACGTAGGCTGCTTGGCTTGAGCTCAACGTCACGTGATCGTAGGCTATAATCAGGATACTACGGAGTATTGTTGCAGAGTCACTCAGTGTGGGCTGTGAGAATGGCAGACGTCTACATTGACATGTGTAAGAATATTATTGCAATTTTGCCATACATGCCATACACCTATACTATACACTATGCATTATAATATACACATTCAGACCGCTCAACGGTCAGATACGTCGCCAGGAATTGGGGCAGCGTAAAGCTCCATATCCCTGCGACAGAGGGGCGTGCAGTCAATTGCTCTGAGCACCGAGCCCCTGAATATGGTAGAGTCCAAGATGCGGACCAGCCAAGTCATGCGTCGTTCATCATGAAGAGTTGAGAGTTCATAGTAAGTCGTTAAGAGGAGAGAAAGTTCATGGTCGTAAGAGAGCTGAGATCTTCATATAAAAGGTCGCAGAGGAAAATGCTTTATCCATCAAGGAAAAGTCGAATGCGTCCGTAAGTAGGTCTGTGTTGGCCTCCAGGACCGAAGAGTAGAGAGCTGGGGCGAAACGATTATCGAGATTCGACGTTACACGCTGATCAAGCAAGCCAGTCTGAAACATTGCCTAGTGGATGGCTTGTTTGCGCTTCTTGAACATCCATCTGAAAGTCGCGCATCACTTGATCCCACGCTTCCCAGTTGTGTTGAAGAAGAGCAGGATCTTGGCTTGCCGTGGTAGGGCCCATGAAATTTTCTGATATCTCGATCGGTGCGGCTGTAGTAAATGGGCCTTGTGCGCTCATACTTTGGGAGTCCGGCAGGGCCGGCCAGCTGACATTGGGGAAGAGCTCGGGCACGATTTCAGTATCGGGATTCGGTCCAGCGATAGGCTGGTTCGCGGGCTGAGCACTCCCTGGGACCGAAGGATCTCGAATTTGAGGGACACCACCAGCCAGGTAAGGCTGGACAGTATTCTGCCAGGCACCAATGTGATTAGGTGTGGATAGGCTCTGAGCAGAGCTGGGATCGGACGTGTCCTGTACGCCCTGTTGCTGCTGCTGCTGCTCTCGGACAGCAGCCACCCGCTTCATCAACCGGGAGAGCGGCCGCCAAAGCATTCCCTTCCTATGTTTTGCAGTACGGCCCCATGTCTCATACAATGAACTCACTACCTGCCAGGCACGATCAGTGAGTGGGCTGAGCGGGCGAACGCAAAGCTCCGACAACACAAAGGCAATCAAGTGCCATTGCATATTTGTCACAAAAAGCCAGCTCCATTTGGTGGTGGTCTGATCTTGACCCAGCAGCCGAGTGAACTCTGCAACCTCGACCGAGGTGACAAACAGATTTTCCCGAGACGCTATGGTCAAATTGCTAGCCGCCGGATCTTGTCGAGTCATAGGATGATGAACCATGAGCCAGAGCTTGGCCAAAATCAGACGAGCAACGGTGGCGCAGACCCATTGTACGGGCACATTCATGTCACAGTGTCGGATATATCGCTCCTCAATCCGTTTGTTGACCTCCTGAATCAACTTCGCACAAGAGTCCGGGGGTCGTTGTGTGTTCTCGGGGTGAGGAAGGCTGGTTGGACACATGGAGCTGACCCTTCTGAGAGCGGCAGTAATCTCGCAACGAACTAAGAAAAAGGTCATTTCCGTGAAACCTACGCGCTCCTCGGGCGGCTCCTGCGTATCGAGCGTGATATCATTGTCGTTGATATTCAGTGGAAGGCGAGTATCATACATCCTGTCATGAATTTGTGCATCAGTACCATGCTCTTCGGCTGATCTGATATCCAGCAAGCAGATATGCCACCACAGTCGCCGACGCATTTCAGTTTCAAAGGGCTTCAAGCCAAAGTTGGTTCCGTCACGATGCAGGCCGATACCTTGAGCCAGGCGCAGAACCACCGCTGTCATGGTCCAGACAAATTTAGTATCATCCTCACGCCGTACACCAATTAGAAAGTGTACAGCAGCTTGCAACAGCATCAGGCTCTGCGTATTGAGGAGACCAGCTCTGGACAATGCCTGCTCGACTGCGAACCGGTAACGCGTTACCGCTGTATCACGATCGTCGCCCAGAACTGAGAAGCATTGTACGGGCGACATGCTGACTATAGTAACATAGTAGATCGAAAGGACCAAGGCTTCGGAATTCTTGTCCAGGAGATTCGGATTCTGGGCGGCCTCTGTAAGAAGTTTTCGTACGGTGGGCTTATGGAACATAGGTATAAGCGGCGCAACGTTATCCAGGTAAATATCCCACAATACTGGAATTTTGGGCGGCGGGGGATGGTAACCGCGAAGTGAATGAGAAAGAGAGTAGTATCCGAAGAGGAATCCGTCGTGATTCGTGGACAGGGTCGACGAGGATTCAGGCGAAGGATGATCTTCCTCTTCTGATGATGAAGGGTCCAAAATATCTTGAAGTTCCTCAATCTGTGCCACAAGCGTTAGCACAAACGATTGTGGATTGAGGCAAAAGGCTCACCTCATCCCCCAAACTCGCCCACAACCGATTGCTGACATATCGACTGCGTCCCTCGTCGATGACTAGCCGTCCGAACTCATGTTCCAGGTTTCGTGGCTTAGCAGCCTGCGGATCGGAGTCTAGAACGAAGGGGCATTTCCCGGCCTGGACACTCTGCGTCTGAGGTGTCGTCTGCCTACCTTCTTGGGGAGACGCGGGTCCAGTTTCCTGTTGCGAGGGCGAAGATACAGTGGACAATGGCTCCGCAGCCCCGGGCTTCTTCCCGCTGAGATGCTCAATGACTCCCTCAAGCCGTCTCAAACGGGACAAGAGCTCCGCATCATGAGGTCGTTTCGACTTGCGAGGGGCCCTTCCAGGTGGAGGAAAGACACAATCGATACCCGCCTTGACACAATTGGAACATGGGCTCCTCTTATTACAGCGGACTTTTCTTCTCCGACAAGTCACACAGCTGCGAATGCTGGGAGGGTCATGCGCGGTGTGAGTACCAGGGTTGGCTGCATGGTCGACTGAAGGGCTTTTAGGATATCCAAAGGGGTTGCTCGACGAAGACTGAGATGAAAGAGGCTGATTCGCAGATGAAATGGATTCGATGGGCGGGAATGACATGACGGATGATGGAGAATGGTTGAGATCCGTGCTACATTCCCAGCAGCGCGGAGAATGTGTGCTTACCCAGATATTGAGAATATAGAGACTGAGTAAAGCAAATCATAGGCGAAAAATTGACCGCGATTCTGAGCCCTCATTGTCATATAAATCTCCTTAGGTATTTGGCTTTTTTCCAGAGTTGGATCTTCGGTCATCGACTCATAGTGGGGACAGGCGATGGTTGGTTATTGGCGGCCTGAGGCGTAGTCCAGGCTCCTCATCGATGGTTCCTGGGCCTGTCAGTGGCTGCCACCCTTGTAGCATTATTAATACCGATGCATGTAAGACATCTTTCTACTCCGTACAGCCCATGGACCTCTAAAGGATAATTGGGTGTATTTTGAAAGAAAGATACGAGCCTCTCCACCTGGACCCCAAAAGTTTACTATGACCTGATTGCGTAGTAATGTTGATGCCTGAGATAGCTTTAAAGCATTTTAATACACTGACGTCACAGTCAAGCCAACTCACGCAAATCGAGGTGCATTTCATACCTTAGTTGATACCTATACGAAACTCAAATTGCACTGCCATCGGATCAGATAAAAGAAAACAAGGATTAGCACAGTCATCGCTGTAAAGTTATCAGATGACTTGCCATGGACATTCGGACACGTTACGCAAATCAGCTGCTGCCACCATAGCAACTTCCGCGCATGTGTTAAAAAAGCTTTCAGGGTATCTGAGCTTCGACGTTATGAACTTATGAGTCACCGTGACTAGACTGGACGATCTTTCGGAAAATACCGAATGTCTATTTTCTTCCGGCAATGATATTCTCGTCCTCCAAGAATTAGCTTCGGCGGAGCGAATTTCAGTCGTGTGAATCCTTCCGGTAACTTCTCGTCGTATTTGATCTTGCTTCTCATGTGAGGTCTACGATGTAAGGTTACTACCACAGTGATATTCAAATGTCGCATGCTCTATATTGTCCCATATATACACCTAACATATACATCACGTGCCGTTCAATGTAGACACGTTCAGAAGATTAAATGATATCGACTGCGCCCCTTAAAGAGACGGTAATGGCTCGAGAAAGGAAATGCTCACGGAAGACTTTCAAGAAGCGGTCAGTGCGAGTGTCAAGCCAAAAAAAAAATCAAAATCAAAATCAACCAGGGTATGGTGCATATAATGCAAAAGCACAGAATTGTGTACCAAATGTCTTTCGGAGAGGAATGGAACGCCAGATAATGCAACCGGGAGATGTGAAAACGGAGGAATAGAGGGGTCGTTATCATAAACCAAGTGGAAGAAATATACATGATTGCCAGTTAGTATGTTCGTTTTTGATTTTTCGGTGAGCTCATTTTAAACGATAGAGAAGCGGCGTGGTTCGCTTAGGGAGAGTGATGGATCTTCGCTGCCGTGAAAGTCCTCGTTTCTCTCTGGCAATTGAGACATTAGCGAGCTATATCCGACGGCCCAGTCAGGATTAGTACTAACTTAGTTTGTTCCCAGATCTTGGTTTCCTCGTTGAAATGGTGACTAAACGGCAAGTCAGTTAAGAACTCAACAGCGAAGCATCATGTACGCACCCCTGAAAGTCAACGGTTGTCAATGCCTTGGAGCCATATTCTTCCACAAGGAGATCAGTGTACATGTAGGGGACTTTGACAGGAAAGTCTTCAAAGTGACTATTCCGAAGGGGGAAGATATCCGTCTCCTAGAAAGCGGTAAGCAATCCATCTCGTGTTACCCTTCTACTGCAGCCACTTACATCGAATCTGTGGCCATCCTTGCACATGAGAGCGCCTTGTTGACCCTTCTTTCTCAACTCGTCATCCTTGCGCACTGCAGTTATATCAATGAAAAGCCCTGAAGAGGTGTCGATCCATCTCGCGTCAATAACATTTGCAGCGTCCTCAGTGGTTCGAACCACATATTGCGGGTTGATTTCAAGAAGGTAGTTTCGCCCGCCGTCCACCCCCGGAAGTTCAAAATGATGTTCGGTCATGTTGTAATATTCAGCGAGGAAGTGTATTGTCGGCTCGGTAACCTGAACGTCGAGGTCGTTGTCCCATGGGAAAATCTGGCCGCGAGTTAGCGTTATGTTCCCACGTTGCCTGTTTCATAAACCATGGGACCGGGGTCCCAACCTTTTGGTTCCACCACCATGCCAGAAGAGTTCCATGCATTATCCAAGTCTCTGCACCAAGATCCGCCATAGTCGACAGATATGTCTGAATGAGTGCTGCCAAATGTGGTATTGTGTCTTCCTCGGAGAGGGGTTCATCGGCGAATCTGTGGGATCGTCAGACAAGCGTTCAAGTCGGAGGACTGGAGACTAGCTCACCGTCCGTCATAGTGATAATGGAAGCTGCGAGGTCAGTCAGCAATTTCGGAGAACAGAAATGTGTGCAATTTCAAGACATACTTAGATTCCTCTAATAATGCGTTAGCGCTATGCCGAAGAAAGAGAAATATATTCGTATCCAGCTGGATAAAAGGAAGTACCATGAAAGACGCCAACACTTACTGAAATATTTCTCTCCCGGTTCACCTCCTTTCCCACTGTAATCCTTGAGAAACTTGGCTCTAACACTCATGAAATCGACATCGGAGTCGGCGCTACCCAAAGCCACCAGCGCGAGAAGTAATCCATGGAGGTAGAGAAGGAAAGTTGGTGAGAATAGATGCATAGCGCATGCAGGAATGATGGGCGTCTGATTCGGATTTAATCACTGAAAGACAGCATACTCCTAGGCGATGTACAGGGATAGTGTGGAACAAATAATTTCAGTCGATGATGGTGTTGAACTGTGGATACGGAAAAGGGCGGAAATGTAGATGGTCGACAATGACGACTGCGTCGGGGAGTGATATCAGGAGGGAGGTGGGAAACGGATATGGATCGCCTGAGTCTCTAAACTGTGATATTAAAATAGTACAGACAATTACAGAAAGGGCCGCATCAGAAGAATTCTGCAGTGATGATAAGAAGGATGGGACATGCAAAAGAATCAAGGATCGACAGTCCCAATGGTGATGGAGATAGGTAGTCCAGTATCTCAATCTAGTTGGGAAGGTGAAAGATTTTGAGAAGAAATCTGCACATTCTTGACCTCTAGGACGAGTAATAAGCTTCATAAATCATGAAAGACTATCTACATGGTCTTACGTAGTCCATCTTGCACAGTCGCGTGCACACTTTCCGCAGGATTCGAGGCCCTGTTTCTATAAATTTGATCCAGTGAGGATCCCCATAGAATTCCATGGCGCTGTAATGGGTAAAATTCTAGGCTAGTCTTCCTGCTCTCCCTTGTTCCAACTTGCCAAGTCCCAGCCCTGCCGCGCCTTGGCAGGAGGTAATGCTCAATCATTCGATGGCAGTTGACCTTGAAATCTGGGACCTTGTGAGGTCAATGTCATTGTTATAATATATGGACGAGCATCTCAGAGGACTGTTGATAATTTCTTGTTCCATACCCGTTCTACCTCTCTATGCTTGGACCATACCTAGTGTTCTAACCACAGCACAACTTAGTAGTAAGTTACGCTACTACAGCCACCTCCTGCCTGCTTTTACTCCTATTCTTTCAACGCACAATCCTACGTAACCTCTGGCACAGGCTTACGTATGTTCCTCAGGGGAGTCCAGCAATTGGACATCATGGTTAGAATCGCGCAATATGTAGCCTACTGTTCGTGTCATTCGTACTACTAATGCACGGCAATTCATTCCAAAATGCAGTGCATAGTGGACTAATTTCTGTGCGATCCGCGATCCGATTCGATGTTTTGGTTGGGACGCGGCAAATCAAACAGGGGCCGCGTCATACATGTCCGTTGGTCCCAGCTAGTCCGCCCTGGACCAAGCGCAGAATCTTGCTAATATTGTTGACACAGTGGGTTACATTTCGAGTTATTCAAATTCGACCTTAGTCCTTCTATTTTGTGTTTGACTCTGTGTTCTCAGAGTTATTCTGTTGTGATTTTGGGTTTCTAAGGGGGTGGACAATATTTCATCATCATCGGATTTGGATATCTTGTGCTGAAGAAAAAGAATGGTTCTGCCTGTGCCTGTGGAGCAGAAGGCATCACCAGGTCCACAACTAACTCGAAAGGAGAAAAGGTCCGGACAGCCGAGATTAAGCCACAAAAAAGCTTTCTGATCAACAAGAGAACAATTCCACCGTTGGGGGCTTTTTGTGTTTCTCTGTGGCTGATGCGCCAGTCACACATTACTTGTAGGATTAAAACATCATGCAAAGGATGCGAATCAAGCCTTCAGCCTGACTCTAGCCCAATTCTAGTCCCCAATAACGTTGTCCGTGACAGCTCCGGGCGGCATCCAAGCCTTGACTGATCCAAACCCTGCTTTGTTCAGCAACGCTCTGAATCGCGTCTCTGGCCGTTCTGCGGCTGCGAACGAGACCAACCTGCCGAGGTCGACCATCGCAGGCAGCAAGGACATGTTGCTGTCAGACTAGATTCTGGTCAATAAGCAGGAGCGAGTCCTCTGTCATAGCTTCACGGAGTTTGGCCAATATTTGCACGACTTGCTTGTCTGGCCGGTCGTCCAGTCCGGCTTAAGTAGTATGCCCTTGTGCCCTTGACAGGTTGATCTCGTAGAGATCATGCTCTTGGATGTGGATTCTAGGATGTAGATCTTTGGCTACTTTGACGACATTGGGCAGATGCAGGACAAGCTTTCCCGGAAGCGTGGGGAAATCTTTCTCTGAATATAGTCTCTTCCCTGGGCACCGCCTACGTGGACCAGGAGGACATCGGATGGCTGTTGCACCCGCAATTCCTATTCAACTGGGAAGACTCAAACTAACTATGGCCCCGCCGGCGAACAAGAAGCGTCATGGTTATGTGAATAGGCCCTTGGTAGTATGGTGCGCTTAGCGAGTGCTCAAATGTCATGACTTGGTGTTCATGAGGAATTGAAAAAGGCCATTGACACTCTCAGCAGGGTTTTCCAGCCTTTCTCCTTCAATTAGTCAAGCAATCTGGAAAGAATCATCTGAAAATGCGTGCAATGACCATTATCAGAGGTTGTTCCGGATTTAATCCATGTGACTGCGGTTTCATGCGTATAACTTCAGCTGACAGAAGAAGAATCCGACTCCTAGACTGTTGCCAGCGGAACAGTCCAGCGTTAACCTGCTTGAATACATTCATGGCAGCTAGAAGTCTGATACCACGTGCTGCCAAATATCAATGTGCCCAACAGAGGCTAACAAATACTGCTGAATATCACATACGGACTAGACCAGCTGCGAGCTGATCCACGTTGGAATGGCTGTCATCATCTTCAGATGACCGTTTAACGACAGCGTCGAACAGCGTCATGTCAACATCCAAAAGCGAAAGGTCATTGCTTGGTCGCTCTGGCCTACATCGGCTTCCTTCCCGAGATACAGGATACTTGAGAATTCGCAGACACTAGGATCCTGAAGGGTCTCCGATGGTGTTCCATAAGTAATCCTCAATTCATCACAAGATTGTAGCAATACTTTGCGTTTCGTGCTCGTCCACGGAGCCTGCTCCGGTAGTAGCGATGGTAGATCTAATGGTCTGGACTACAGTAGTTCACTGACACCCATTTGCATGGTATTGGAACGAAAACCTTTGGAAGAGAAATCAGATACGTCTGCCAGCGCAATTTCAGAGCATAATGCCAGCCATCTTTTATAGACCTCTATAAAAAGTCGGGAATTCCGTAACAGGCCGAACTTCATGAAGTAACTTGGCCATGTCGGGTTCATTTTCCTATTAAACTCATCGGAACCCGAGTTCGTACGCTTGTCTCCAAACCTCAGTCATTTCTCATGACACGCCCGACATTGGTAGTATACAAACTATTTACATGGGACAACCGCTGATAAGGCTACAGAGAACCTTCCGGACTACTTGGTTTGAAGCTCTAGGAGTGCACAGATAAGCAGGCTTGTCGACCCATCTCCGGGACGTTCCCCGCTCCTAAGCACTGACATGGCCACATGGAGAAGCTGAACTTCGACACTTGCAGTCGAGTCTCTAAATCCTGCAATAGATGAATCAGGCTTTGTGCTCACACTCCATTCATATCCAAAATTAAGGCGATTCTGTTTCTGCCTAAAGGTCATTCAAGATTGCCGCCGTTGCACATTTAATACGGCCGGAAGCACCGATGCATTGAAAGACATCGTTAAGCACCCTCACTTGACAGTCAAGTACGTAAACCACTAGTCTAGCATACAGTGGTTTATCACGAATCCTGGAGAGAAGCTGTGCAAGCAGGGATAGTTTCATCCGTCCATTCGAATTTTGGGTAGGACTTACTAGATATGGTAACCGCATTGATGTGGACCCGCCTAGACTAGTAACTTCTTGATTGGCCACATAGGAGGTTTAGATCGAGCGCTGCGGGGAGATAAGAAGTATTGATTCGTCAGGTTTTGGCATTCTGGCAAGGGTCTTCCTTGCCCGTTTTTTCCATGCGTTCTTATAGAGAACCTCGGGATGGTGAACATCTCAATAACAAGGTAGAACAGTAGGTCTACAACTATATAGGCATAACTGGAAGGTTCCTGCATGCAAGTGGACTGCAGATCTCAACTCTCCCTTATTTAATCACGCTTTTGATACTTTTCAAGAAGCTTATTCTTAATCTCAGATCGTTGGATACAGATCAAGTTCCAACGTTCCAAAGTTCCAAGGTCTTGACTGCCTAGGCTGCAATCCCCACTTCTGAGCCAGCCAGGCGCGGCAGCACCAAACCCCAAAGTGAGATGCCGGTCAGAGCGGGCAGGTTACTAGTAACCAACCCATCATGGAGCGTCTGCACTGATACCTACCTTAGTCAAATTTAGATTGATAAATCAGAGAAAAGGAGAAGTCGCCAAACTACTAACTTCCAGGCCTGTGGCTGAAGTCTCACTCACATGATTGAGGCTTGCTGTCTCTTTGGTCCGTCCATAATGGACAGGATTTCTCCTCCAAGATGACCTGCTAACGGAGAAGCCAACCAATTGGATTTTTCCCGTCATTGTGCGTCGAATTGAACCCCAAAGTTCTTTCTGGGCGCTTGAAACAGAAGCATTCAGGGACCTCCGGAGTCTGACTAATTTCTTTACTCAATCCATTCTTCGAATACTGATCCAAAATAATATTTCGTCATGCCATATTTGGCGTAAGGATCACGGCGTTGTCATTGAGTTGAATTGCGTGTGGTTCCTTCTTGTGCCACGCTTGCTTGTCCACTATCAGTACGAATATATTGGCCGAGATATGGGGTTCGACCTGACTGACCCGAGCTCATCGTCAGCGGCCTCTATCAATTCTTGTATCTGGTGGTCTCGTTTTCTCGTACCTGGCAATACAGTTTCTGGTAGTCTGACCTGATTTCTACCTTCTGGTACATCCACAGCGGTGGATTCAGGGGACAATGTCAGCTAGCTCCGACGTGATGCCCACGGATGGTGGTCATTCGCAGCAAACGGCCCCGTCGCAGCAATTGAATCGCTCCTGCGAATCATGCAGAGGCCTCAAAGTTCGATGTATTCCTGATCCAACCACAGCGAACCAATGTCAGCGGTGCACAAAGACCGGAAGGGTCTGTATCTTTGTCGCACCCCAAAGGCGGCGGCCACGAAAGCGAACTGATTCCAGAGTTGCTCAATTGGAGAGGGAAATGCGGCAGATGCGTTCACTATTGAAGGACCGTTTACATGCGGACGACAGCAGCGGAGAAAGCGTGGATAGCGAGCACGACGAATCGCCGGAACACGAATCGGGCATCGAATCCAAAGATCACCTATCTTCAATCCCCGAGGCACCCAGCAGTGTCTCAACATCAACCAGGTATACGGACCAGTCGCATGGTGGTGTTCCACTGTCTTCATATCCCAGCGTTGTCGAGAGCAGCTCAGTCTCCATCCCCTCCTTCACCCCGGGGTTCAGTGGATACTCCCCTGAAATGCCAATAGGAGATGACATTATCGACCGGGGCGTAATTCCCTTGGAATACGCCAATGAGCTGGTGGCGTTCTTCATCAGAGATTTAATGGCCTTCGCTCCCGTCGTCGTGCTGGCTCCTGAGACCACCGCATCGCACCTGCGTCATTCTAAGCCCGTACTCTTTCTTTCCATCATTGCCGCTGCCGCTATTGCCGTAGATGCATCCATCGCGGCCGTTCTTAATCGAGAGCTCGTTCGGCTCTATGCGGAACGATTCTTTATTCAGGGCGAGAAATCCTTAGAGCTAGTCCAGGCATTGGTACTCATGACGGTCTTCTACTACCCGCCCGACTCGCCAATGAAATTGCAGCACTTTCAGTACACGCACATTGCAGCTACCATGGCTTTGGAAATCGGTTTGGCCTCTAAGCGTAGAGTATCTCCAAAAGCAAGCGGGAAGAAAGACAAGCGGAATGCGTATGATGAGCAGATGGCGGAACAAGCAAGAGCGATATTGGAGTGTTATCATTTGGCTTCTACGTAAGGATCGAGAAGCGCCCGGCGGAGAGGGAAGCTGCTGATCGTTTGGAACAGTGTCGCAATGAAGACTCGTCGACCCAATCTGCTCTTGTTCAACGACTGGATGAGCGAATGCGTGAAACACCTAGAAAAATCGCCAAATGCCATAGATCGACATATGGCCACCTGGTTCGAACTCCAAAGAATCGTCGATGAGGCTATGGCTTCCTTCGGCCTCGATGACACAAGTTCCACCGCGCCGTTGACGGAATCTCGCGTTCAGGCTGTGCTGAGGTGGTTTGACAATCGAATGCTGAATTGGAAGAAGAATACACCAGCGGATATGCTCACAGGTGCGCTTTCCTCCCGGCAATGACTTGGAAGTAGCTAGCTCACTTTTGTCCCCTCCAGTGCCCATGAGCTTCGAGTACCATTACACCAATCTTGCCGTATATGAATTGGCAATCGGAGAAGGTTACCGAGATCCTGATGCGATCAAGCAGGAATATTACACGCTTCCGAGGCCGGAAGGTGACCGCCGAGATCAACGCGCCAGTAACCCTCTCAGTGCCATCCGCGTAGATATAACGATCAAGTGGATGCATACAGCTCACGAGATGCTCAATTTCTTCCTCAGTTGCGACAATGAACTCATGCGAAAGCTTCCGAACTTGACATACACACGTGTGGGCGTGGCGTTGATGTCTCTCTTGAAGATATACTTCACGGTAATATCAGGCGGTTTGGGAGAATTTGTGACGCCGGAGTCCGTCAAGGTTGAAATGTACCTGGACGCAATCGCAAGGAGAATCACCGAGGCGAGCGGTGGCCAGAAGTACAAGATTCCCAGCCGATGGCATTATGTTCTTGCCGTCAAAGCTCGAAACTGGTATGATCGGCTGCAGCAGCGGCAAGCCCAGCGGGAAAGTGGCTTTGCGTCTCAAATGGAGGCGGGCCAATCGATCCAGATACAAATGCAAATGCCAGTCCATACTCTTCAGCACCCCTGTCCCATCAACCCAAACTGTTCTACAGAGTCACTCGTCGTGGATGCAGGCATCCCGCAAGGTCCTCCATATTCCAACATGGGTGGTGCCTATGGAGCTCCAGTGGCCACGAACCAAATGTGGCATGTCGACCAAAATTATGCGCCCACATCTCTCAGCTACCAGTATCAGGAATATCAGCCACCCATTCTGCAATCTCAGTATGGGTACGTGGCACAGCATCAAAGCTTACCTTCGGAAAGCAACCAAAATCAACCGCCATTACATCGTAGCACGGGGATGGAATTGGACGGCTGGCTTCCTGATGGGAGTATAATTGGGGCACCCACTTTACCTGGATTTTGATAGTTCGGTTTCATTCCTCCGGTCTGAACTCTGCCATGCAGTGCGTGTCACGTCAAGTCAAAGGGCTTTCTGACGTCGCCGTCCTGATCGACGCCATCCATACCTCTTGTTAGCCATCTCATTACAAGACCACGACTGTCCGTATAGTTATTTATGACAGAGCCATCACTCTACTGACCCTCATAGAAGGGAATCCAGACAATCACTTTCCAGAAAAGGAGAAACAAACACAAGCAGAACGTAGGCAGACTAAGGTAGATATTGAATAAGAAACCTACGCCCGCATAACGTCGGCACGGAAAATTATTCCACTCAGTTCGACCCTCACGGAGCATCGGTGAACTCGGAACCTCCGGTATGGCATGGTACCCGATTTGAGCGTGTCATAGAACACCCACCCCTGAATATCTGAGGTAAGAGATCAGCAAATCACTATTGAGACCCATTCACAACATCGTGGAGCTGCCAGCCGTCATTGGGCCTCCTTGGGATGAAGCGAAATTAGACCATTCGGACTTCGGAATAGTGCCGACTTTGGAGTATAGCGCCCCTCGCTTAGATTCTTAGGGGGCCTGTGGGCGCCATTGAAGTTGTCAGAGAGCATGCAGATTGGCGGGTTATTTATTCCATCTGTCTCCAGAGGCCAACTCCGGCATTATATTCGACTCCGAAGTAGACGAGGCCTGTGCAGAACGTCTTGGAGGCTTAGTGGTTGTTGGGTTGAGGGTTTGGTATCTCGTTGTATACCCTGCTCTCTTAGTCCGTATCAATTACGGCCAGCAGCACGGATTAGCATAGCAGGATGAAAATAGCGGTCGAAGACAAATGCATTGATCCAGATTAGATATGCTTTAATCAATTGATACGTGATTACTGCATAAGTTGTGTTCTTGCTATCTGATTTACTCTTATGACGTGTAATGTGCGTAAACCCTCACTGCCTTTCGCCGCTCTCTCATCACAATGCCAATAGATATCGACAATGTAGTCTACATATACCTCTCGAGAGGTACTAATGTAAGCATCGCACAAATACACTGAATATATCAAGAAGAGATCAAAATCATGTCTGATCTATCCCGCAAAGAACCCTCTACGCGTGAGTTCCCCCTCCTATATGCAAGGACAACCACTAAGCGGTCTCGTCCCCAGAGGCTCTCCTAGACAAAGCCAGGCGCCAGAACGATAGCATCAGCGAGGCCCTCAATGACCCCGAGCAGAACACGACTGGCGCGCAGTTTGACAAGAGCAAATATCCATCTGAGGCGGTGTTTGATAAGGGTAGCACGACCAAAGTGGCGGTTGATGTTCCTCCTACGGGAAGGATGTGAGTTCACTTCTTTAATCCTTTTGGCTTTGCTGGTGCAAGAGTGATCGTGGTTTGTGGTTGATCAGTTGCTGATTGATGCTGTATCAGGGTGGATAAGACAAGGGATCCTGCTGGGGTTAGGTGACTAGCTATTCTGGGTAGATGGCTTGGTTGCGCTGCCTTCTTGTGCTCAATTATTCAAACTTGTTTCGATGCATGACCGGATACTTGGAATTTGATGTTCCAGTATTTGAACTTCGACGGATAACTTGTGACATATACCAAAGCGCTCAGCTATAAAATGCGTAGACAACCATCTCTAGCTAGTAGGGATAATGACAGTAGGGTCAACGCAGCAGGGATGCAACAACTTGCACAGTTTGCAGCGATTGGCAGGGGTTCAGAAGGACCTCAGCAGTAGTTTCTAGGTACCCACTAGAGGCCTTCTTAGAATAACAATCATCTCTTGTACTTGCAAGTCAAGCTGCGAAACCTATGTGGCAGCACAATTATGCTCTCACGATATTGCAGTATCAGTTGACGGATCAGACCGATGTTTCATATTGGGAAGCGAATTGAGCAGCTCACTTTTCTCGGAGGAAAATTGATAGGAAAATTATATTAACTGCCTGCAAGATGCTTTTTAAAGATGGCGTACCCAATGAAGGAATTCTCAATCTCCTCTGTTGAAGCTCTTCAATACTGAGTGTGGGAGTTAGATATAGTAAACTTATTGACCGATGGAGGCACCCGCAAGCTGTCCGCATTCGGATCACCCCATAACGGAACCACTTCCCCTGGTCGCAGTCGGTCTCTCAACACAGTTCCGCAATCGTTCATGTTCACAACAGAACAGCAGGGAGAGGAGTAAGAGTGTGCGATTTTGATTTCCTCCCTCCCTTGTTGCTGCTGCCTAACCTGCCATTTTCGCTTTTAGTTCAGAACTTTTGTTATTGAGACTTCCCGCCCCCTCAATAGCTTAGGTCTCGTGGCCTTGAACGTCCCTCCCTTTTCACGCGACCTTTTCGACCTCCAATGATTGTCAGCACTGAATTCTCCTCTTGCACGGATGGGTGATACTGCGTGGTTCGAGTTGGAATACACAGGAGGTTTCACCTTGGGCGAGTCTAGGAAAACCGGCGAGACCGCTTTAGCACGAAACATCCATGAAGAATGACCTCACCGTCAAGCGCCGATATTGACCATTCTGTCGACTCTTCCGCTGACCCTCCGCAATCAGGTTCTCAAGCTTCGGGGCATACGCAGCCATCGGCTGCAGCTACTGTTCCGAATAATGATCAGACGGACGAAAGAGGGATTGGAGAAGCGGAAGTGAAGACGCCGGAAGGGAAGAAGCCTGCAATGAACCCGACCCTGGAAGATAACAAAGCGGATGCAGATGTGGCGGAAAAGTTAGATGACTTCGGGCTTCCAATCCCAGTCCGACCCAAGGCTGCACGTCGGTCAGAAGACGAATCACTAGAGGAGGGCGAAACGTTCCATGATGTTGAAGAGACGCGGATACCACCTAAGCGTGATACTACCTCCTCAGAGAATGATAAACCCGCTGCGTCCCACGACCTTTCCTGCGAGAATGACAGGCAAAGCACCCCGCCACCGGCCTACTCTAGCTTAGATATCCACGATTCTGTCCCTCAGACCTCTCCAACACATAAGAGGCATTCGAGCCTCAAGCCGTCGGAATGGTCGCACCAGCGACTGAGCGAAAACAAGGAAGCCAATTCGGAAAGCGATGATGAAAGCGATGGCGAGTGGAAAGAAATGCCCGCCCTAGGCGAATTCGATGTCTACGACGATTATGGGCGATTGGTCGCTCGTGGCGCCAAAGAAGATGGTGATGACGCAGTATATCAGGGCCTGGGTGGCGCTGGAAAGGGTTATACTCGAGTACAACTCGACGAAGATGCGCAGTCGGCGACAAGTTTGGATCAGGACACGAGCTATCTCTTCAAGGAAGCCGCCGGTAACTCTGTAGGGGTCGAAGGGGAAGAGCTGCGGGACCCGCTCAGCCAACTACAGGCTACAAAAGATCTTCTGACTGAGAGTCAAAGGATCGCCTATGTGGGAGTGACGCGGCTGGTGATCTACCAGATGACCCAGGACTTGGAAAAGCTACCAACGACTAAGGCTTCCCGCAAGGCGAAACAGAAAGCGGCCGACGCCATGAGGAAATGGGGTCAGACTGTCATGGGAAGGATTTATACTCACATGGAGATCGATCCTGCGGAGCAAATCATGATTGAACAATTGGCTGAGCATGGCGTTCAGCCTGCGGATCTTGTTCGACCACTGATGCAAAATGCTCGGGTCAAAAATCCAATGGCGGAGGAGCTCGACTCTTCGAAGGCATCCATGTCCTCGAGTGCGTCTCGCGGCTTGAAGGAGAACAGTCGAGCAAGCTTATCCACCGAATCAGAGCTTACTTCCGAATCGACTTCCCCTCCACCTTACGAAACGCACGAAGATGACGACCTACCGGAAGTGCGGACCCCGTCACAGATGCCTACTTCAGCAAAGATTGACATTGACCTTCGTTGGACGGTCCTTTGCGACCTATTTCTCGTTCTTATCTCCAATTCGGCGTACGATGCCCGATCCCGATCCTTACTGGAAAGAGTCGGCCAGTCTATGGAAGTGTCCTGGCTGCAAATTGCCCGCTTCGAGAAGCGTGTCATTGATGCTCTCGAGATGCAAGAAGCCGCGGAGAAAGAGACTTGGGACGAGTCTGACCACATGGAGAAGCGTCGCAAGATGGCGCTGAAACGGAAATATATGGTCATGGGTCTGGCCACTGTTGGAGGAGGGTTGATCATCGGTCTCTCCGCTGGTCTGCTGGCCCCGGTCATCGGCGCTGGACTTGCAGCGGGCTTCACAACCGTCGGGATTTCTGGGACCAGCGCTTTCTTAGGGGAGCTGGTGGGACAGCCTTGATCGCTTCTGGTGCTACCTTGACAGGAAGCACTATCGGCTTAAGGGCTTCACACAGACGCACTGGAGCAGTACAGACTTTTGAGTATCGTCCTCTCCACAACAACAAGAGGGTCAACTTGATTGTTGCGATTTCAGGCTGGATGACTGGCAAAGTCGATGATGTTCGGTTGCCATTCAGTACAGTTGATCCTATCATGGGCGACATTTATTCAGTCCTATGGGAGCCGGAGATGCTTCAGAGTATGGGTGCCACCATCAACATTCTAGCCACAGAGGTAAGTGTCTCCTGACCTGAGCGTGGCTTTTGCTGTCATGGAGCTGACTGTATTTCCTATAGGCCTTGACCCAGGGTCTGCAACAGGTCTTAGGAAGTACTGTCCTCATGGCTTTAATGGCATCCCTGCAGCTACCTCTTGTTCTCACTAAGTTGTCATACTTGATCGATAATCCCTGGACTGTCTCCCTCGCTCGTGCCAACGCGGCAGGGCTGATTTTGGCGGACTCGTTGATGGATCATAACCTGGGCAAGAGACCTGTCACTCTACTAGGTTTCTCGCTTGGGGCAAGAGTCATATTCTCGTGTCTGAAGGAGCTCGCAGACAAGGGCGCTAGCGGCTTGGTTCAAAATGTCTACCTTTTCGGGGCTCCACTCGTGGCAAACAAGGACGAATTTATCAAGGCACGCAGCGTTGTCTCTGGCCGGTTTGTGAATGGGTACTCCTCCAATGACTGGATTCTGGGATACCTCTTCCGGGCCACAAGCGGCGGCATTATGCGCGTGGCTGGTATTGCTCCGGTAGAAGGGATTCCTGGCCTGGAGAACTTCGATGTCACTAACTTAGTCAATGGCCACATGGACTATCGTACCGCTATTCCACGGCTACTCAAGGAAGTCGGGTGGGAAGTTCTCAGCGAGGAGTTTGCTGAAATCGAAGACCCCGACCCGGAGAATCATGGCGAGCGGCAACGAGAGCTAATCCGCGAAATTGATGAAGCTCGTAAAGCCGCAGAAGCTCAGCCTGAGAAGAAGCGGTTTGGACTGTTCAAGCGCGGCAAGTTAGCTGAGAAAAAGGGATGGGAAACATATGATGTGAAACGCAGTGACTCGTTTCCGCGAGAATCCACTGACAGCAACGGAATCGGAACCGTCCTCTTCGATATCGATGCGATCAGGGCAGAACTCGCCTCGGAGATGATTGAGGTCAAGCAGCTGGAGTCTACGCTCCCACCCATGAAGCTAGATCTCAATTCACCATCAACTCAATCATCAGCTGCTGCTACACCGTCAGAGCATAGAGCTTCCAAAGACGGACGCGCTACCCCATCCGTTCCTCACACACCCGTTGAAAATCCCCCGGGCCACTCGGCCTTTGAAAAGACGCAATCTCCACCATCCCATCAGGAGCAGATCCGTATGGCTTTTGATACTTCTTACGATAACCCTCCGCAACGTTCTCATTCTTCTTTTGAACCAGCTGCTTACGATTCATGTCCGACGAGACCAGCTTTACGATCCTCTGTGACGATGCCGACTAGTGTCGGTGCCAGCGCGCTTGGCGCTATGGCTCTTGAGCCCAATGCCTGGGCTGACCACGACTTCGGCCATGGCGAAGAGGGTGAGATCTCGATGACCTTCGAGTGATTTATCACTTGGTTTTGTAGGGGCTTATATAGTACTCCTGCGAGTGTGTATAGAGCTTCCCTCGCTTGTTCCATTTTCATCAGCTCCTCTACGTAACGAATGATGAAACAACGAGTGAATGTCGTGTGATCATTCTATTCTGATTTTGCATTTGCTGCCTCCTTATGTCTGTTAATTATTTCAGCCTCCTTCTTTTCAAAGACTCGATATAGATTTTGTTCAATGACATCGACTGTATCGAAAACTGTCAGACCACTCATGTATTACTTGCTGGAAGTTAGCGTATAGCAACGTGGGTTAGTCTAAGATCTGTTACTTTGTATATTTAGACTAAACATGTGATCGTCACTGATTTCACATCCCCGTTAGGCTTGGATCCTGATCATTTCGGCAGCTTGCTCTTAGGTTGGAGTATACTGTGAATTGTGCTCGTATCCTAGGTTGCTTCTCCTCAATCGCCAACGTATCAGGCAAAGTGGAGAAAGCGCCGCGATAAGAGATCTTAAGCGTGTCACCACACGGACGCGTTCCGCACCCGTCCCCGAATTCAATACAACGGTCGAACTATCTGTCTTTCTCTCTCTATTGCTGCAGCTTCTTCATCCCAAATACAAAGAGGCTGAAAGCTGAGCAATAATTTGACCCTTTCCATCAAGTTCTTTTTTTAACTGGAGGACCTCTGCGCGGGGTTCATGCGGCGTGTGGCAGCAGCGCGCTGGACGCAATAACCATCGCTGTATACCTGTCGCTACATTGACGTGGACAACCTTGCTGCCGTTGAAGCGCAGGTGGCTTTACGAGTGGCTGTATTTCGTCTTCTAGCTCCTATTGCGCAATTCCGACCTGATTATCAACATGGCCACTCCTACATCTAAACCGAATTCCAGCTTCTCGAAGGTATATTTGACCAAGAATAATTACTCAGGACGGTCTCTTCACCCAAATGCCAAGCGACCTGGAAAGGGAGCTGAGGATTCAACGAAGGAAGAAAGCACCCAGGATGTTGAGAGTTTCGAGGCGGATTGGGATGAGCGGATAGTGGACAATGAGGACATAACTGCTGAACCCGCCAGTTCTCCGGTCAGTTCTCTTGAGGACCAAGAGAATGAGATTCCGCCCGGTTTTGAGGAATTTGACAGCGCAGTAGGGGAAAGGAGGAGGTCACAACGCGGGAAGAAAGACTTACGCGGTTCCGAGTCTCCTACGTTCAGCCGCAAGAGGAATGCCGATGATATGGCCCACAAAGCTCAGACTGATGCCGAGAAGGAAGATTATGTATTCGGCTGGTCACAAAGTCAGAAGAAGCGCAAACAAGGTTACTCTGGAAGGAAAAGCGATGGCTCTTTGTGGAAGGTGCAAGGCTCTACCACCACTCCCCCTCTGTCAAAGTCATCACCTTCCTCCAGTGCTTCAGAGTCAAAAACGGGTCGCAGCTCACAGAAAACCAAAACGAAATCAAAAAAGAAAGCTCTTGATAAGGCTCCAAGCTTTACGGTCCCGCCTGATATCGACGACCTCCTACCTCCATCATCTGGAAATCGCACGAAGCCCGAGTTTATTGTCCCCGCTTCCCTCCCTAACGATACGATATCTAGCTCCTCTGGATTCGCATCATCCGCGCAAATATCCCACTTCTTTGATTCTGACGACGACTGTTCAAGTGGCACGTCGCTCAGTTCAGTACCAGAGAACTTGCTGGAAGAATTCTCGCAGATGGAGGATGTCTTGCTCTCTGACATGGACGACTCAGAAAACGCGGAGTTGAAGCCCTCGTTGTGTCCCTGGTGCAAGAAGGCTGTCGATTCAGATGCACTGAGGAAGTTTCGAGCGCAACCAAAACAGCGGATTCGCGAGCAACAGCAATTCTGCGAGTCGCATCAAAAGGAGACGGCGGAGAAAGAATGGAAAGAGAGAGGCTATCCAGACATTGATTGGGATACTTTCGATGAGCGCATCAAGTGTCATTTCGACGATCTGGACAGTGTCTTAGTGCCTGAAGGCAATTCATACTACAGAAATGTTCTTGATACTATGTTCAAATCGGGAAAGGCAAAGAACTTCCGCCTGACACTCGCTGGAGACGCCCTAGAGACAATCTGTTGCGGTTATTACGGGACTCGAGGGGCCAACAAAATGTACAGTCTCCTAGTTTCCCTCCTCTCCTTCAAACGCAAATGATGTCCTGTTATTAACCGATTCTCTTGACAGGCTACAAGCTCTTACAGCGCGTTTCTCCCGCAAACTCCGCCGTTTGGCAGCTGAGGACCACATCGTCAAGACAGCTGGACCTGTTATCTATGCACAGGCAGTCCTCGTACCTGAACTGGCCGTCAGGCTTGTCAAAGAAGATATGGGAGTGGATGTTGACTCGGCACGGCAAATCCTGCGAGAGAGCATTGAAATTGGCGAGAAGCTGAACTTCGCCCCGAATGATGTGATCCCGATCCCGGATGAATCAGAGAATGCTGATGCTATCATTGACTAAAGGCATAATACCTACGCCATATCGATCTTCTCATTTCACATACTTTAGTAGCGACTGTATATAAAAAGATTTTTCGGCTTGATACCATTGTTGCTCTTGCTTGTTGTTTGTGACGAATGGCATATTGAAGGGTATCAGTGTGCGAGAGGGCGGCTCATGTTGAGATGTATTCTTAGTGTAATTCTCGGCTGGAATGAGCATATGGATAGCCCCTTTTGAGGGTTTGACGATGTTACATGAGCCAAAGAAATGGTGTTATGACGCCTTCTGTTATTATCTGTCCTTGTTTAGGAAGGTCGGTTTGTTTAGGAAGGTCGATAAGCTCTCCAAATCCACTGATAAGAGTAGAGCTGTTCGGACCCACAATTATACGTGGATAGCTCAAGCGGAGGGTACCCACTCATGATGTGTAACTCCTCTCTTCCCCCTCATCTTGCGAGGATCGACTCATGCTTCTACTAAACTGCCATGGCACCTTCTTAAACTAATGGTACTGTATGTCGAACACCTTCTGATTTCTACAGCTGCTGTACATGAACTTTTGAGCTCTCAGTCGCAAGATGAGGGAGAAAGCCATGGCTCCCTCAGAGACTACTCCGCTCCTTGTCGTTAACGTCGCTCCGCAGCGATATCGATACCCCCATCATACCTTGCGACGGGCGTGCAGCTTCTCCTTGAGCCTGATTCTTTTTGTTGGTTTGATTCTGTTCTTAATTCCGTTTTCCATCCTGCCCCGCGAGCACGGCTCTCTCTGGTCGTATCTCCCCGGTGCCAACCCATTCCCATACCCGTCATGGCCCAACAGTCCCGGCCTCACGTATGAGCAGCTGCAGGCTGTTCTTCAGAGCACAGCGTCAGCCGCTAAGGCCCGTGAATGGAGTAGTTATTACACAGCAGGTCCGCACCTAGCAGGCAAAAACCTCAGCCAAGCCCTCTGGACCCGTGAGAAATGGCAAGAGTTCGGTGTGGTGGACACGGAAATCGTCGCTTATGATGTCTACCTCAACTATCCTGTAGATCATCGTCTGGCTCTGCTGAAGAAGGACGGCGATAAAACCGATGTCACCTTTGAAGCTTCTCTTGAAGAGGACGTCCTTGAAGAGGATCACACGAGCGGTCTTCCCGATCGCGTGCCTACTTTCCACGGTTACTCTGCCAGTGGGAATGTCACCGCTCCTTTTGTCTATGTCAATTTCGGGACGTACCATGATTATCAGGATCTTGTTGATGCCAATGTCAGTTTGGCGGGCAAAATTGCTATTGCAAAGTATGGTCGCATCTTTCGTGGTCTGAAGGTGAAGCGGGCGCAGGAGTTGGGCATGGTCGGTGTGATATTGTATGATGATCCCCAGGAAGACGGAGACATCACGGAGGACAATGGCTACAAACCGTACCCTGAGGGACCTGGTCGGAACCCCAGCGCCGTGCAGAGAGGAAGTGCGCAATTTTTAAGTATGTCTTCCTTCTCCTGCAGTCCTCAAGCCTTGACTGATACTGACTATTCTGTGGTAAGGCATCGCTCCCGGTGATCCCACGACTCCTGGTTATCCGTCCAAGCCCGGCTGCGAAAGACAAGATCCCCATAACTCAATCCCGTCTATTCCTTCCCTACCCGTCTCATATCAGGAAGTGCTCCCTTTCCTAAAAGCACTCAATGGACACGGTCCGAAGGCATCTGATTTCAACAAATGGTGGCAAGGTGGGAAGCTCGGATCGAAGGGTGTAGAATATAACATTGGGCCTTCTCCAGATGACGTTGTCATCAACCTGTACAATGAGCAGGAGTATATCACGACTCCGCTATGGAATGTCATTGGTACCATCAAGGGGGCCATTCCGGATGAAGTCGTGATTCTGGGCAATCATCGTGACGCCTGGATTGCCGGTGGAGCCGGGGATCCGAACAGTGGATCCGCTGTGCTCAACGAAGTCATCCGCAGTTTCGGTGAGGCTCTGAAGGCAGGATGGAAGCCACTGCGCACTATTGTCTTTGCTAGCTGGGATGGCGAAGAGTATGGATTGCTTGGGTCTACTGAGTGGGTTGAGGAGATGCTTCCGTGGTTGTCGAAGACTACGGTTGCTTACCTTAATGTTGATGTCGCTGCGGCCGGGACCAACTTGCGCCCCACGGCTAGTCCGCTTCTCAACAATGTCATCTACGAGGTGACTGGATTGGTCCAGTCTCCCAACCAGACAGTGGAAGGCCAGACAGTGCGGGATACTTGGGATGGCCGAATTGGTACCATGGGAAGTGGTAGCGACTTCACTGCGTTCCAGGATTTTGCAGGCATCCCCAGTTACGATCTGGGTTTCAGCCGTGGTCCCAAGGACCCTGTATATCACTATCACTCGAACTACGATAGTTTCGACTGGATGAATCGATTCGGTGACCCTGATTGGCTGTACCACGAAGCATGCACTAAGATATGGGCCCTGGCTGCGGCTAAACTGGTGGAGACTCATGTTCTTGCCTTTAACGCTACGGACTATGCTACGGGCCTCAAGACATACTTGGATAAGATTCGGCCGGCGGCGGAGCGGCTACCTGGTCATTCATCGTTCGACTTGGGGCCACTGGACAAAGCAATCGCGCGGCTTCAGAAAGTCGCTGCGAAATTCGACGCTGAAGCCGCAGAGCTGACCTCGCAGTTGGACGAGAATCTTCCGTGGTGGCTCTGGTGGAAGAAGGTGAGATTGTACTTCTTGATCCGGGGGTCAATGACAAGTACAAGGTCATTGAGCGCAAGTTCCTGTACCAGCCTGGCTTGGACGGGAGAAATTGGTACAAGCACGTAGTGTTTGCGCCTGGTATCTGGACTGGATACGCTGGCGCGACATATCCTGGACTGGTGGAAAGTCTGGAGGCAGGAGATTTGGAAAATGCAGAGGTTAGTCATCTCACTTTTCGCACTTTTTGCACCATCTTGCTCGTTCGTCTTTGCTAACGCTATAATGTACAGAAATGGCGGGATATTATCCGTGAGCGAATCGAAGATGCCACGGACCTGCTGCAATGAGTTTGGAATTTCCGGTTGCTATACTCCGCATAGAGATTGTGACACGTTTTTTCACGTTTACAGGCAGGCTGAGTAACCTAAACAGTTGTGCACAACTTCTGTGCCCACTGAACTCAAGTTCCGCTGGGGTTTTCAGCCTTGGACAAACCTATCAGCCAAGGATTCATCTATGTGGTACGAAGTATATGAACTGTTAATTTTCTATAAAATGCTTGGCCATATCTTATCCGAGAATTGTGTGGAATAACCCCTGTAATTCATGTATATGCTATTTTTCATCCAAAGCCCACGTATATGCGACATAAGCGCAGACCGGAAAAGGTTCGGCATGTTCACTGTGATCCTGGGAAATCCACAGCAGGACCTATCATGGAGCTCTCGCCGATCGACAGTAGAATAATTGAGTCATAATCGAGGAGCAACTGACCTGGTGCATGCATTCGAAGGCGCAGTCACAAGCGGTCAAACTCCGAATCGCCGATGGATTTATCATTATTGTTCTTCGTTATCACTGCTAGTACTCCGTAGTCTACTCCATACTCTGTATGCTGTGGGGATCCAATGCATCCATCCATCAGCGGTGCAGCGGGCTAGGCCGACTAGCAGTCCGTCCTTCAAAAGAAACACTGCATCTCATTCGACTCTGATTTTTGTAGGATCCGCACTTCCCCACCCGTGATGCTGACAAAAAGGAAAAAAGTGAGGCCTTTGACAATAATCGACCCGAACTAGAAACTCAGAGCAGTGCCGTGGTGCACAGACTCGACCGTTGTTTTTCTCCTTCTCCAGTTCTGTTTCTTTGATTCTCTTCTCTCTTGTACTTGACTGGTTCAGTATCTTCAGCTATTGATAGACCCCCAGGTTACTTCTTTTCCATGACTTTGACACAAGGCTCGCTTTCCCTCGGTTACTTGCCTCTTGTCGATCTGTATAATAGCCGATAATCCAGCTTAGTAGGCTCTTGGCCAGGATTCTATCACAGCTTCCAGATGCACGAGAAATCTCCCAGACTGCCAGTGCGGCAGCTGCTGATTCTATGTAGGTATTGTCAAACTATAGATAAATATGCTATCTGCAAACTGACTTCTTGAACCAGCAATATGTAGATTTGCCGAGCCAGGTACGTCCAAGCTCACTCACGAGTGCAACATTGGGATACAAATCTCTCAATTCATAGACCGATTTCGGACTTCGGCCTATACTGAACTCTTTCCCTTTGCTAAACAGTTGTTTTCACTTCCGCCTTACCATATCTCGTATGCAAACTGCCCGCCTGATGAGTCGCCGCAACCCAGCTAACCACCGTTCACCCGCAGCCCGAAATGATCGAGGACATTGGCGTCCCCAAAAACGAAGTTGCGAAATGGGTTGGAATCACCTCGGCCGCGTCAGCCAGCTGCCAGGCCGCCATGGCCGTGACTTGGGGAACCGTCTCGGACACCGTCGGTCGCAAGCCCATCATCCTGTGCGGCTTGACCTTCACTATGATTTTCTCGCTGATGTTCGGCCTGTCAAAGACTCTGGCGATGCTGGTCGCTTCCCGTGCACTGCTGGGTCTCATGAACGGGAACGTCGGAATCATCCGGACCATGGTGGCGGAGATGGTCCCAGAGAAGGAGTTGCAGCCGCGTGCATTCAGCATTATGCCGCTGGTTTGGACCATTGGGAGTATCTTTGGGCCGGCCTTTGGCGGTGCCCTGGCGCGCCCGGCGGAGAAGCATCCGGGGACTTTCGGGAATTGGAAGCTTTTCAAGGCCTATCCGTTTCTGTTGCCTAATCTGGCATCGGCTTTTCTATTCGTTATTGGGATTACGACGGGGTGGCTCTTTTTGCATGTAAGTGCGATTCAAGTTACAGGGAATTCGTGCGTGTACGCGCTAATGGCGGACAGGAAACACTGGCAGCCAAGAAGCATCACCGCGATGTAGGTTTACGGCTGGGTCAGATGTTGACAGGCTCCTGTAGCTCTCGCAGAAAGCAGATGTCCTACTCCGAGACGCAGGAGGATGACGAAAGGACTGCGCTGCTGGGAAAGCACCGGTCCACAAAGAACACGACTGCCAAACGGCCGAGCTGGAAGGAGGTCTTTTCTCCGCAGTCCACATTGGTTCTTCTGGCCTATGCCATGATGGCGATGCATAACATGGCGTTCGACTCCCTGCTTCCAGTTTTCCTGCATACGCCGATCCAGAGATTGGAGGGGAATCCCGAGGTGCGGTTGCCGTTCAAATTTATCGGTGGGTTCGGCGTTGGTAAGTATCTCTCTCTCCCTGTCTTTCTCAAGCCTCTGTCCTGACACTTTCTGCATAGACTCCCAAACGATCGGCATATACTACACGTTGATCGGTATTATCGGGATGTTCGTTCAGTTCTTCATCTTCCCGGTAGCGGCCAAGCGATTTGGTGTCCTCAACTGCATCAAAGTCATTGCCGTCGCCTCCCCTGTCGTGTACCTCCTGACACCTTTCACTGCACTCGTACCAGCATCGATCCGGAGTTTTGCGGTATTCATGCTCATGCTCAGCAAGCTGATATGCAGCATCTTCAGCTTTCCCTGCTGCACCATCCTCCTGACTAACTCCGCAGCCAGTCTCAGCGTGTTGGGGACTCTGAATGGCGTCGGCACGAGTGTCAGTGCAGTCGGAAGAGCAGCGGGACCTGCACTTATCGGTGCGGCGTTTTCCTATGGTGTTAACCAGGGCTACGTCATTCTCCCTTGGTGGCTTCTGGCTTTCTTTGCTGCCTTGAGTGCAGTGCCTGTCTTTTGGGTAGAGGAGACGGATGGCTTTCACGGCGGCCAAGAGTCGGAATCGGAGGCTGCGGAGGATTGAACTGTTGACTACTCACTGCACCTTTGTCATGTTCAACTTCGACACATATCAAGGGCACAAGGATTCAGGCTGAATGACGGACATTAATGACCCTACCAGCGAATTCATTGCAAGCGCAGCGTTGGACCACTTTCAAATCTGCATCCCACCATCCCACCATCCATCAGGCGTTCACTTGCAATTACGATATCACGTTTCATGGGCTGTTATGACTTACGTTTCTAAAAACTTTATGGGCAATGATTGCGCGCATATATATGATTTATGTCATCTACCAAATGGGACTAGAAATATGACCCTCTTTACACCATCTATCTCCTGTCTACCAAGGGTGGCCTGACCCTAGCCTACTATGTAGAAGCTCGAACTCCAATACTATTAGTAATACGTCCAGCCGCTCGGCATGATCCGCATCCGTACTCCGTACTGTTCTCCACCAATGACACCACCAATTCAGATGTCACCGTCCAGCTAAGCTCCTTCCCCATCTATCACCAACCGACGTATCTCCATCGACTGACATCCTCAGGGATTCACTTATCTAAATCCTGCACTCAAATCAGTCCACCCCAGCCCAATCGTCAACATGGTACGCACCCTACTGCCAACATACTAAGCAACAGCAGCAGCAGCAGCTAATAGCAAACAGTCGCAATCCTCCCTCCCCAGTCCCACGAATTCCGCCGCCGCGCTGTCCCTCCTCACCTCGATGGGCGGGATCATCGGCTACGCGCGCACGGGCTCCATCCCCTCCATCGCGGCGGGTCTCTCGGTCGGCGCGCTATATCTGTACAGTTTCCTGCGTCTGCGCGACGGACAGCCCTACGGCGAGGAGATCGGGTTGTTGGCGTCGGCGGTGTTGGGGGTAGTTCCGTGCCGCGGGTGATCAAGACGAGGGGGAAGCCCGTGCCTCTTGCGCTGAGTGTTCTCGCGACGTATGGGCTTGTGGTTTTCGGGTTGGCGTTCCGGGAGAAGAGGGCTTCGAGGGTTTGAGTTGGGGATGCACAGTGTAGTGTACCTTATGCTACGGGACTCTTACTTTACAGATGGCGGAGCGAGATAAACAGTTGAGACAGATTATTAATTGATAAGGGATGTCATTTTTGAGTCCAAAGCATCGTTGATTCGTTGCCTACCTTTATGCTAGAGAACTTACAGCAGCATTCACTTAACAACCTAGGGGTTTCCCGTCTCCAAGTAAACTCACGTGGCAAAAACACGAAACTTGTCAAGTTCGGACGAACAACTTCCCACGGTAGCCAGTGATATCAGCCTTGCTCGGTGAAGGTTGACAACCGAACTCACCAGCACTCTATCGATGCTCTTCCGTCGTTCATTGTATGTCGTTGCTGTTTGCTCGGAAGAGTCCACCCGCATCATGACGGCGAAGAGGATGGATGAGTATTGTAGCAGCCCCTGTTCAGTTTCAAGCATAGTTTCTTCTTTCTTGCACTTGATGTTGTCATGGTACTGAGATATTAGGGGAGTAGAAAGACATAACAAGAGGATGGAGATAGATAAGATGAAGCTAGAACTTGATATGCATCGAACTTAGCTGAAATCTGTGGTTCGTACCTCTGTCCAGACGTCTGACCGGAAAGCTGCGAAGGGATTCTGAACGAAAACCGTGTGTGCGTGTGTGAATCTCCGAAGCGTATGTTCGTTTCGCAAATGGTCAGTCGGCTCACAGTCGCCGCACCAATCATCATGCGTTTCACTGCGCAGAGTCGAAAATCTTGTCTGACTCCCGGATAGTCCCCACTACTACAGCAGCAGGGAGCTCTTCAAGTGTCGTTTCTCCTCGGCGGTCAGGAACAAATGCGTACCTTGACAATCTAGCCATCTTTTCCTCCGGACTGGTTTCATTATCAGAGTATACCAAGCGTGTCGGTTTGGACTTGTCCTTCTTCGACGGCTTCTCTTCAGTGATTGCACCTGCACCAGCTGCAGCTTTGGCCGCGGCCTGGTCAGCTTCCTTCGCTGCCCCAGAGACAAGATCATTGACTGAAGATGATATCGATGCAGCTTCCGCTCCTGGTGCTCTTCCGCCATCTGGAACAGCAGTATGCACTCCAGCGTTCGGAAGGGGGTGGCCCATGTGTATTTGTTGCATTTGATATGCATTCACTGGCGGGGGTTGGAAAGCGGGGCGCTGTGGGAGGCTAGGCGCGGCCGGTAAGCTACCAGAACGTTGTGGGAATGCCGGAGCAGTTTGAGGGACTGTGTGTGACGGGGAAGCTTGTTGATGCGGCGGTATCGGAAAAGGAGGTGGCGTTGTCCCATAGGGTGGAGTAGCTTGCGGAGCAGTACCAACCGGATATGGCTGCGGAGTGTATCCAGTAGGTGTATGCTGCAAAGGGTACTGTGCTTGTGCGCCTGGTGAGAAATTTGGATACACGGGGCTCGCCGTCTGAGGGAATGGAGAGCCGGTCCCTGCATAAGGTGCAGGATATGTAAATTGCGGGGTCGCGGCGGCTGCAGTCTGAGGAGAGTGAGCCTACAAGAACGCAACGAGTTAGTGTCAGAATGCTGCAGCATGCATGAAATCAAAACAAGAAAACTTACATATCCAGCCGGAGCCTGTGTCTGCCCGGCACCCACAGGAGTCGCCTCTCCGCTGCTTCCTCCGGCGGCAATCTCCGCCTTTTTCGCCTTGTGCTCAGCTAAACGCTTCTTCAAGTCGGACACGTCTCCAAGTTTGGGTCTCTTCGCCGGTTGGCCGCCAGACCCCACTCCTGAAGGTGGATTCCCCGTCACGGCCTGCCGCTCCGCCTCTGCTTGCTGAAATTGAGCGATCACACGCTGGTTGTGAGATTGGACGACATCATCGGGGACACCTTCCATGCCAAAGATTTCAACATCAAGACTTGAGCGATTGGGGAGCGCATTGTCGACGGCGGTAAGCTGTTCCTTGTGCACTTGGCTCATATGCACAGACAAGCCTGATTGCACCCGATGAGCGAGAAATTATCACCAGAGCGCTATATGGGCAGTATTGACTCACCTCCTGCGGTGTTGAGCCTCCGGCTACATCTGTCGCATTTAAAATGCTTCGCCTTCTGATGCGATATAAGGATTTTGAGATCGTCAAAATCACGCTCACAGTAATAGCACCACGGCCGAGCCAGAAGCTCTTCGAGTGTTGGGCCACGTCTCTTTTTACCCATTGTGAAAGATATATGCCAACAGTCTCAAGTTTCAACGAGACCGGGATTCGATATGTTTGGTATTAGTTGTGAAGGTTATGAAGTGAAGGTATGGAGGAAGAGCACGATAGCGGCAATGCGTTGACTTAGCTGAGATCTCACTGATCCGAAGTTGGAATCATTGAGTCACGTGAAGTAGCTGGTCTACAATGTTCTCACGTGACTTTAGTTTGAACTGCCGGATGGGAAACGATGCATGTTCCAGGACTGGATAATAAAGAATATGACACAAGTTCCATTCAGTAGCTGTCTAAATATGGAGTGATTACTATCGTTTCATACTATTCCATTTACTATTTTTGCATGTAGTGACTTTTAACGACGAGCACATGGAACAATAACGTTCATTAACTTGGCGTTAAGCAGAAAGATACCCTATGCAGAATAATGCCCTTTGCCCCATCAAAGTCAAAATCAAAGTGCAGGTCGTTTCCAATACATTATTTCTACAGAGCCTCCCGACCAGCGTGGCCAGTAGTACAAGAATTAGCAGATCAACAGCATGTACATGGTTCAACCAGATTCCTGGCAACTTCGCTCAAATATAACATGACGGACACTCAATGTCTTTCCGAGAGGAAATGCTGAACAACAACAGGTGCAGTTCACTGATCTGAGGTTCGCCATAAGAGTTGTAGATAATACAGAGAAAAAAAGCGCCGAACTGCAGATGTAGATGTTTTGCGCAAACTCGTCTGTGTTGAAAAGCTGTTTAAGTGGAGGATTAGACGGCACCAGACCCCTTCGACCCAATCACCCATCTTTTCTTTCCAATTGCAGGATATATCCAGAAGGATCGAAGGTAAATCCATCATGTAGCGAAGAGGAAGGGGTGAATTGGCTATCCGGGGCGCGGGACCAAGCACGAAGGAAAAGCGGGAGGGACCGACAAGGATATACCTGCTCATGCGGGTCGCGCGGGCCTGGTGGCGGCAATCCAGCCGTCGACGCCCCGTATGGGCTGTAGTAACCTGGGTACGGGGTGCGGTAAGGCACCGGCGCAGGAGGCTGCTGAAACGGTCCCGGAGGACCTGGGGGAACGATGCGACGCCTCGAGGGTCTATGGGCGCATATGGAGAAGCCATCGACCGGACTGTAGGCATAGGCGCCAGTCCGGGTGGACCAGTGGGCAGAGGGAGCGACACAGGCTGCACAGCTGGTGCAGGGGCAATGGGCCCGTCGACTTGCGAGCTCATAGGGCCTGGGGTGCGGGACTTGGGTTTCTTGATCACGGGTTTCTGGGCCTCTGCGGCCTTCCTAGCGGCCTCTGCCGCGCGATCCGCCGCAACCTGGGACTTGGATCGCTTGGGTTTACGGATTCGGCCCTCCCGGTTGAACCGGGCCCAATGGTTGAGCATGGCCTCCGTGCGCCGGGGGTTCTTGGCATTAGCGATCTTTTCTCGTCGAGCCAGCTCAGCTGGGTCCAGGGATTCATTGCCTTCCGCGCTTCTCGCTGGAGTGACTGAGGGAGAGACAGTCGCTTGGGCCCCATTACGCGCCGGTTCGATTGGCGCCAGTTGAGACAATGTCCCTGAGGAGTTGGATGGAGGCCGGGCCTGCAACGGTACAGGATGCGGCACTGAGGCCACGACTTTGGTCTCCCGGCCGCGTCCTCGAGCTGGAGCTGCGTTCGCCGCTGGCTGTGGAGTTTCCGAAACGGCCCGAGAAGGAGCGCGCGCGGCACCTCGTCCACGGCCTCGACCTCGTCCGCGACCGGCGCCCCGGGTAGCAGCAGCTGTAGGAGCAGGAGAAGTGGGGCAGAGGGAATGGGTGTATTATCTTGTGTTTGCTCCACCTCGAGCGCCGTACGGCGTTGCCGAGTTCGTCGCTTCGCTGGTGGCATAGAGTCTTCTTGATCCTCAGCGGGCACAGGCGTCCCGAAGAAAGCGTCATCCGTCTCAATTTCTTGGCTAGCTGCTTCCAATTCCGCTGCTTTACGCCGGCGCGTGTTCTTTGCGACGGTTGATTGGGCTGGTGGTTTCGGTAACATTGGCACGTACGGAATGCCAAATTTGTGGATTATCGGCCATCCATCAGGGTTGGGGTCGCCCTTGGCTCTGATTTTGGCGGTCTGAGCGGCAGTCGGCATGAAGCCACCTTGATCGAAGGGGTCCTGGACGCCGCCCGGAGCTTTGGGGTCATACTTATAACCGTACAGCATTGCTTCCCTTTGACTCTCGAAAACAGTGGGGTCCTCTAACTTCCTCGGGTCCGCACTAGGCTTGCTTTGCTGTCGAGTTGCAAGCCTATAGAGCTTATCGATAGCGAGATATTCATCTTGCCATGTCTTCAAAGTGAGATGTACATTCTCAGTGATCGCGTAAAGCTCGTCAACAGAGCGATACTCTGGATCACGGAGCTGGGATAAGATGTTCTCAAGAGGTGTAATTTCGAGAAATTCTCCTTTCGCGACTTTTGACTTTTTGTAAGGATTGAAGCGCTCTGGTGAGTCAGATGCATCGCGCTTCGTGCCACGCTTGGGATTACGAAATACTGTATCCCAGGTGTTTTCGATGTCTTCGACTCTGTCCTCAAAGTCCTCCGAAAACTTGGAGACATCGTTGATATTCCAAAGTTTATAGACACGATGCTCAATGATAGAAGTCTGTCCACGTGAGAAACCGTCAAGTCGAATGGGAGTAGAAAGACCAGATATCGCTTCGTCGAGCTCGCCGTCAGGGCCGGCATCATATGTTCGGACTACTTCTGTCTCTTCAGCGTCACCTGTGTCTTCAGCTTCGACATCGTCAACTCCAGATGCTCCAGCATCTTCAGTGAGCTGGCGATCGGTGTGAAGTTGCCCATTCGGGGTATGTTCCTTTGCGGCACTAAGAGAGTATCTCTTGGCACTATGCGGGTGGGCGGCAGCAATGTGCTCTTTGAGAGTAAAATAATCATCGTTAGGTGACTTAGAAGTATTGAAATATTCCCCACACAAGTAGCATTTAGACTTATGAGTCAGTGAAGAAGGCGATTGAGATGTTTGAGTTGATGTCGAGTGAGCAGAGAGTGGCTCGGAGAATTGTCGGCGAAGAGACGAGGCCTGGCTGGCCATGTCCGAAGTATGGTTGTACATCTCAATATCGCTCTGGGCGACAGGAGCCATACCTGCTCGGTGATGAATACTTCAGAAGAATGAACAAATCTGAAGTAGATAGGTATGGCAGTTTGATGAAAACTGAGAAAAAGAGAATTGACCTCTTTTCCCAAACTCGGTATCTAAACATTCAATGTCAGTCAAATGCACTCCGAAAAGGAAAAAGTTCGCTTGGGAAACGCCAAGACGCCAACAGTACTTCGGGACTGCTGTGCGATCCAGGGAGCCGCCACAGTATGAAGGTAAGAAGAGAAGACGGATGCAAATGTGTTATGAGAAGCAGAATAAACAACTTGGGAGTCGATCTGGAAATTGATGATTCGAGATTTTGGAGAACTGATGGAATGAGAGGATGGGGCATTGCAGGCTCTGACGGATAAATCAAGTGGTGTGGAACACACGACAGCCACATACATACCTTGAGGCAGAAACAGTCTGTCAGAACAATTCACATTAATAGTGATTACTCTGGATAAATTATTCGAGCGCAGATTCAGCAGACCAAGGAGTCTCAATAGCGATGGACTGCTTTGACGAAAGGGCTGTCTTGTCACGAGTGTCTGACAGGGATAATAGGTAGGAAGTACGTAGATAGTCCAGCAACAGTGGAGGCCAAAGTAAGCGCAGAAGGTAGTCTGCAAGGCACACGCTTAATCTGGAGAAATAATAATCGAATGGAAAGGATAATGTGCAGATTCGAAGATATTAAATATTGCGGAAGCAGATTGTAGTGCTTTTCAAGAAACTGCTCATGGAAGCTGGCATCCAGTGTGGTGGTAGGAGATTTTACTATGGTGTTCAATGTAAAGAAAAGGAAAAAGGAGAAAGGAGAAGGGATGGGAAAAAAGGGTAGAAGGAAAGAAAAGCTAGCAGCACTGGACACCATACATCAGGTAATGAATGAGTCCGAAAGTACTCGGAAACTTGGGGAGGGATATGTAGCAGATGACGGGCATGTAGTAGTGAATGAATAGAAGAGTCTGTTCTGTAGAGCCCGAAAAAGGTGTTGTTATCTCAAAGTAAAGTAGGTAGGTATTTTGGCTGTGTACCTGCTTTACCATACAGGAGGCCCACTTTATCCGCAAAAGTGTGCCACTGGGCCAATCCGGAAGTGAACGGCCAGGCGCTTGGGTTGATCTGATAGCCAATGGTTAGCATTTAAGCCGGCGTACTTTCAAAGTCGATTATTGTATTACATTACCATACATTAGTACCTTACCATGGTAGATCCCCAAAGTAGAGGCACCTACCTGGGTACCGTAGTAGACCCTATGTACCACCCCGACTGTGTTGAATGCAAATTATGCTCCGATAAAATCAAGATCTAGATAGCTTGGGCAGGTACTACTGACTCTATATTTATATTTGATTTAGGTTTGATATTCAGATTGTTGATTTTGTCTCAATAATCTTTCCTGTACCTTTCATCATTGGGTCGAATCTAAAAGGCATAGAGTCGGTATTTTTGTCCGTACTGAGCTGTACTGCCTGTTGCTTGACATCATTTGCCTCTGACCTTGATAATACCGTTTCTAGACGAGGAACAACCTAGAGAAGGTAGCATAGAGGCTTAAGGGACTGTTCCCATGCTGGGGGGAATAAGCGTGGATCTATGTCGTATACTACGATTGTCGCCATGTTCCCAGGCCAGTCCATTATTATACTAATCTGTTCTGCGGCATGGCTACAGTCCACTCATAATTAGCTTATATTGCATTGTTCTATCCGAAGTAAAGAAACAATGGAGAGAATGAGTGCGGTTAGAAATGCTTGCATTGTTTGACGAGATGGCCTATCTAGCGTTGGTTTCAGACCAACACATCGCGATCATCCTATGACACCTACATTCAACCTATTTCCCTGAGGCATTGCACTGCGCAGCAAATCATATGCAGCATCGTCATTCTTGATAGAAAGCTCGGTATACGTCTCAACAGCCTGGGCTATATAGGATTTGTAACAGGCGCGGGAAGATGACGCAGACCCTATTCAGCTGACAAATTACGTGTTACTTCCAGATGAATATCTCCTCGCCTGCCTTTTCAGGCAGTAAGGAATTATTGGAGCCCAAAAAGCACAACCAAGTGCTCAGGGCTGTAGTATACTGCAAGTGGATGGACGAGGTTTTGGAGCACTTTGAGTGGATGCAAAAAGCATATTTGACACTTAAGGATTCTTCTCCCCAACATTCAAGGCGACAAGAAATCGGCTGACACAATTGTACGCTGCCACTGTTGTCGTTATCTCGACTATTTCCCTCTCATTGAAAAATCCCTTCAGCTCCTGGAACACTTCCTCGGGAACAGTGACTGTTTTTGTCATGGCGTCCGTGTACTTCAGAACAGCTCCTTCAGCCGGACTCAGGGCCTTTTCGTCAATTTTCAGTGGAATATCTGCATGAATATCACGAACAGCATGCATTCCCTCATCACTAAGCCCACCTTCTTCCAATAAAGGTGCGTGCTGTTCCCATTCAAACCAGGCTCCGTTCAGAACAGCCACGCGGCAGATGATAAGTTCCTTGATTATCGTAGACAAGGTAGTTTTTGTTCGTATTGCCCCAATGAATGAATTCCATCCATCTGCCACAGGATACGAGTGCAGAAGTGCGCGATCAAGTGGTAAGAGGCCCCAGGGGCACGTCTGGCTTTGACACGAGCGAGGATCTCCGCCTCTTCGGGAGTGCTAGTAGGGGGAGGGTCAGAGACGTATGGAAGACGCATGGTGAGATTGTCGATTTCAAGAACGTGGCCAGACTTCAATAAAACACAACTCGGGCAGCAAGTGACTTCAATCCCCTTTCGAAAGTCTACGTTGTACTCAGTGAGTCATCATACAACAAATCTGATGCGGTAGACCTACCTCAGAGATGAAATGGAAAGATATGAATGCAATTGATTTTGCACAACCTCCAACTTTCAAGACCTGGACCCTTTCCTTGACATACATTCAATATTCAGCGAGTTCGCGTGGTCTGAATATGGGGAACCACGCTATTTAAGTATCGGATGACCCCACAGATCAATTCTTTGGAAGGGGCCCCGCCGCGGGGAATGATGCGATTGTATCATTGCAAGTAGTACGTACCCTTGGGCCAAGCCGCAAATTGTCGAAGAGCAATCGACTGTCTTTAGTGGAGCTCCCTATACAAGAATAAGCGCGAGCGTCTGACTCAGAGCTGTTATTCTATAGTCTCTAGCTGTCACATTGGACACACCATTTTGATCACTTCAGACAGGTTGACTCGTCGGGAATCCTCCGGCGCGGCCGTACGGATGCTGAAGTTTTCTCACGCCGAGAGCTTGTGACACGAAACATGGATAACGAGCTCAGAATTTCCAAAAGCTTTCTTTTTCTAAGACTATCAAGTCAGATATCTGCTCGCCGGATTTTCTAGCTCACATGCCCCATTCCCATCGGTGGTGGCTGACTTTCGCAAGACATTGCGAAGTGGATTCGCGCCTTTTCGTACGGCGTAGAGGCTTAACAGCCAAAATTCATTGACCTAGTATAACGAAGGTAAAGAGGCGGCCTTTAGGTGGAATGAGACAGGTTGTTAAAAGTGCGACCAATCCGAGAATTCATTGGAGATGCGAGGTGAAGTATATATTTAAGGATCTATGTATCCTAAACATGTGTCCAGTAAACAGCATGGTTCAGAACGTAGATTTTCGGTCGCCTAATGAACCTCAGACAGTGGCTCATCATCGTTCGACCATTATTACTGTAGTCTCAAATCAAAAGGTTGCAGTTGACAACAGAAACAGGCATAAAAATTTCATAGTTCGTACTCCGTGCTCAGTAGATCGAGTTGCTCTAGACAACACGCTAACGCTCCTTGGCGCAGGTCATCAAGTTCCCCACCGCCCTAACATTAATGCCCCCATAAGCTCCGACCACTCTTCTCCTGATAGCTATCTCGGCATTCTCACGTTCCAGATACACACAAACCACAAAGACAATGCCTCCAAAAGGCGCGAAGCCTACGAGCGATGAGCTCCTCGCTCAATTCGACGACCTCGGCATCGACTCGACGACGGAGAAACAACCATCGAAGCCGACAGCTGCATCCGCTACCGCACAGTCCGAAGAAGATATCCTGGCTGAGCTGGACAATCTAGCTTCGCAGCGCCCAAGCAGTGGGCCCGGCACTCCACGACTGTCAACGAACGAGCCTAGACCAGCCACCAAATCACCCAAGCCAGCAGCAGTAGCTACACCTCGATCTAGCGAAGACAAACCGGCCCCTCGTAAGTCTGGGGAGAGTGTTCGGTCAGCCCCTGCTGGAAACAAGCCATCAACTACACAACAGTCAGAGCAAGAGAAGCCAAAGACGCAGGAGGCACCCGCCAGCGGAGGTGGAGGATGGTGGGGAGGCATTTTTGCAACGGCCACTGCTGCTATGAAGCAAGCCGAAGCTGCGGTCAAAGAGATTCAGCAGAATGAGGAGGCCCAGAAGTGGGCACAGCAAGTGCGAGGGAATGTTGGAGTTCTCAGAGACCTAGGTGAGTGGACAGTGTTAGTTTTCTTCATTTGATTCGTGCTAATAATACTGTCTAGGGGGCGAGCTCAAGAACAAGGCCCTGCCTACATTTACATCTCTGCTTCACACCATTGCGCCTCCAATTTCCTCTCATGAACGGCTCCAAATACATGTCACTCACGATATCTCCGGATACCCCGCTATCGACCCTATCGTTTACTCCGTTTTTTCGCGCGTAATGGCACAGGTCGAAGGCGGAGACCTCCTCGTCATCCAACGCGGTCAAGAATCCGCCCCAAAACGCGGACTTGACCTCGGAACCTCATTCTCCACCGCAGGCTGGCAAGATGGTCCATGGTGGCGCACTGTTACACCTGGAACTCCTCGCAGTATCGCAGCCGTCCGAGGCACCGTGGAGGCCACCAAGCTTGCTCGGGCAAGCGCAGAATCATATGCTACCGAGTATTTTGCCTCGAGGGGCGGGGTTGAAGCAGCTGCGAAACAAGCAACTCAAGACTTGAGCGAATCCAACCCGGTCCGAAGCAGCGACATTTTCCTAGCTATCCAAGCCATCAGTCAAACGTCATCAACGGAACTTTTCCAGGCTGGCCCGGCGACGGAGATGGCGACCCCTCCTGGGGTGGTTGACCTTCCCGAGGCGACGGAAGAAGAGGTCGCATTCGCCCTTTATCTCCATGACCCCATCCATGGCATTGCCTTCCATACTATCTCCCAGACTATTCCCCAAAAATGGATCGATTGGCTGGATGCCGAGGCTCCGGCTCTCGCAGATCCCAGCGCCGAGGACGCGAAGGTACCGCGCACGACCGTCCCGGAAGATATTGCTGAGATTGTTGCCAGCGGAGGTGTCGATCCCCGCGAATGGGTGGCAGAATGGCTTGAAGAATCTTTGGCATTGGCCATAGGAGTCGTTGCCCAGCGTTACGTGGCTCGGAGAATGGGTGTTGGTGAAGGGGGTCCCCGTAAGGGCAAGATGCGAGCTGAACAGGCGTCGGTCGTAGAGAGTGGAGCAGGAGAAGCTGCAAGAGCGCTCTAGTTGAGTGTCGGATGTTTCGATTTATACCATTAATATGCCGCTTCACAGTTCATGTGTGATTTAAGATGTTCATATCATTATGTTATACCAAGGCCTCGCAATTAAACCCCGCTTGATGATTCATGAGCAGAGCTGCTTTGCAGCATGCTTCCCGGGGTTGAAGACATTCTCATCCAGTGTAGCTATTTGTTCAAGATTTATTCTAGCTTGGTTCAGTTGACTATGAACCTAGCTCTCCATATACTGTCTACCAGTCTCAACACCATACTTACCCAAGTGAGCCGGCGATAACTATCATCATACCTCGGGATATCCGGGCTTTGAGTTCACGAGAACCGAGAGCTCAAACACCCATTTGTCTTGTTGCGTTGGAAAAGGTATCCATCAGAAGACGATGGGTTACACCGGTACGCATACTCGGTCCATACAAGCACCTGTATCCTGAACCTTCTCAATTGTGGAAGGAGGCACTCCAAGCAGTTTGATATACCACAGGAGCCGTGCGAGGTGCAACCGCACAAGTTATTCCGAAGTGCGGCAGAAGGAAAACATCGAGCACTGTAGCAGATAAGAGCAACGAGTTAGCATCCAACTCCCTCAAAAAGGCATTCGTTGAGGGCTACCCATAAAATCTCGGTGCGTAAAGCAGAAAACGAAGATACTGACTTCTTTCAACGACGTCAATTCTTTGTGCGGCAGCCGTTCAGACTGAATTTCGTGGTATCAGCGGCTAGCCTTACCCGCTGAGTTGTATGGTTCCTGAATCGAGTAAGTATACGGCCTTCAGAGATGGCTGGGTACTCTCTCAACTCGATTTTTATGATCTTTCCCCAGAGCGCAGTCCATTTGACGCTTGGGCGTCGACGTGAATGGTGCCTGTTGCTTTCTGTGCACTCATGTGGCCCTTTGAGAGTCTCTTGTAGCGGATGACATTGTAAGCTACCCTATACGGTGAAACCAGTACAGTGTACAACCTACTAGCTATTATGTAGCTCGAGGTCTGTATCCCATAGTGGGAGATGTTGGGAAGGAAGGAACGGCATCATATCTCAGTGCCTGAGGTAGGATACTTGGGATCGATGAGCACTCTATTCCTTAGGTCGTTTCTTTTGAGGAGAAATCTGGGTACAGGTAAGCATCTTCACACTCATGTCTTCGTTCTCAGTTTTCTTCTCTCGCCTTGCTAACATCGACAGTCACTCGGGCAATCCGACTAAGACTTTCCCATTCCCGATGTTTCGTCTTCTTTGGCCTGCCAGTGAGTTTTCCTTTGGTTTTCTCAAGTCGCTCTTGTGATGACTCTCCTTGCTGACTTGTTCTCTCTCACCTTCAGGACAGAGTGTGGCCCTCCTAAGGGGGGTATAGCCTATAGGGGTAACACCCAGAGTCTAACCTACTCATCAACACAGCAAGCAAACCGCCTTTGGATTCCGACACAGCACAGCAAACCCCCTTTGGATCCCGCCGAGTTCTGGACACTAACGGAGCAGCTGAGGGGTTCTGGGGGTCAAACTTGCAAACCTGTGGGAACTGAGGGGTCTTCAAAATCCTACCTGGCCAGTAGGTGCCTGTTCATCCGGATCCTCGAGGGACCGATGGCAGGCCTCCAGCGGCGAGCTCGCACCTCACCGTGGTGCTGGAGTCTAGTAGCCATCCTGGCGAAGCTAAGACGAGCTCACTTTGTATTTACTTCTTTGCTTAGTTAGCTTTTGTATTGTAGGTAGTTGCAATGAGAACATGTTCTTCCTTCGTGCGGATGCTTATACAAGGTAACGTTTGACTACATGCAGCGTAGTTGCGTTGATCGAGTATTTGTTAATGTACAGTTTTCGCAGACTAACAGACGAGTATTAGACACAGTCACTCCTGCCTCGTGCTTAATACCGCTGGTCGAAGCAACTAAGAATAAGGTAGGTTAATCATCGGATTTCTTTCAAATCGAGGTCTAGAGGGACAAACGTCTACTGGTTTTCGAGCAGGATTCAGCAAGAAGCCAAGTGGTGACAACGCAAAAAGAAAAGGAACCTTTGCGGGTATCTATCTATCTATCATCTAACTTTTCATGTTCATGAGTCAATCAGTCATTAAGTTCCAAGGGTCCATCAAGACCAGAAACATGCGAGAAGTTTGCGGTAAGGGGAGTAACACTGTATTCGACAGTCAGCTTCTTGCAAACGGGGTGTACATCCAATGGACAGAAGATGATAGAGGATGCTAACCTAGTACTTCCATTCAGAACCGTATGCGCATCAGTGCCCTGATCGCTTGCCTGCAAAGCTTTCTTCATCTCAGACAATTCCGCCGACCAGGCGAAATTGCGTTTCTTGAGGTGCGAGTTGCCAAACCCATTTACGGCTTTCGTGGCCGAGCCGTTACTCAATTTCGCGCCATTTTCGTCTGAGTGGTTCGAGTTTCCGTTCGTCAACCCCGGCGCGGAATGCCCGTTGGCCTGTGACACTTCGGCGTACAGACACCCCTTCGACCAGTAGTAGGGCAGAGTGCGAGTATAACGGACCGGTCTGCTTTCCACATCCGCGCGCATTGGCACGTTCAGGTTGTACAGCTCGACACGCTCGTCCCAGTTCTGGTACAGGTGGTTGACGACGCGCACGGCGAGCCTGGCCGCGGCGCGGATGACCTCGATCGGCTGCTCGTCCTTGCTGCCGAAAGAGATGGCGATCCCGCGCTTCCCGCAGATAGCGGCTTCCAGGGCGCCGCCGACGGTCCCGGAGGAGAGGTTGTAGATCGTTGAGGCGTTGCGGCCGTGGTTGGGGCCCGAGACCACAAGGTCGATGGGGCCTCGGTCGGCGAAGAGGTTGAACAGGCCTAGTTGGGTACAGCTGGCGGGTGTGCCGTTGGTGATGACAACCCATTCGCGGTTCGACTCGGTCTCGTCGATGTTCTCGTAGGCTTCATCCCATGTTCCGTCTTCCCGGAAGGCGTCCGGAGGCACATATGTTGCTTCTAGCGCGGCTTCAATGATGTGTGCTTTGCCGATCCACGATCGAGATCTCGCTGGGATTGCGACGGAGACTTGATGGCCGGCGGCCAGGAGAGCATCGACGAATGGGCGGATGTATGGAGACAGGCGCCGCGAGGGCGGACCATCGTCATTAACAACCTGGGATAAGGATCACATGAGTATTTTCTTTCTTTTCTTTTGGAGACTCGCCAATCTCCATGCGCCAATGGGTATTGAGAGCAAGGTGATACAGAAAAAGAGCAAGGTAACTTACCAATATATGCATGCTGATTGCTAATATTACCTTGAGCGCTGAAAGATCCTATGGAGCAGTTGCCCTTGATCCGGTTTGCTGATACGGCGTCCTTTTGGCTGGAATGTGATGCGGAGAAGGGTTGAACGACCCCCCACGGGCAGATATGATGGTTATCTTTTCTACGGCACCTCCAATTTGACACTGGAGGAGATAGTATTTATAAGAGACATTGCGCTCGGTAATGATCGAGCCCTGGAGAGCCTTCTCAACCTATCCCGACTACCGAAAACATACCGGGGAACCTCCAATATGGTTACGGTGAAGCTGTTTTGCGCTGCGGGGGTCCGCACGTTGTGCCCTAGGAGAACCTCATAATCAACATCGGTCATTTTTGTAACGAAAGAATGTCATAGCATGTATGTATCGTTAGTAACTGGTTGCCGCCAAGGGCCGTTTAGAGGTAACATACTGTACGGGACATGACATGACGCAATCTCATGGCAACCAAAAAGAGGCTGCGGTGAAGACGGACAAATTGCAGCGCAGAGGAAATTTGTTTCCCTCGGATACCTCCGCTACATTTATTAAATTAGTAAAAGAAAAAGAAATGGTCTACTCCTCGTGTTCAAGACTCGAAGTGAAGCCTTGTCTGGCTCAACCATGAAGTTATCATCGATGAAGGATCGATAGAGACAAGGACGGTCAATTGTATGCAGATTATAAGTTCTAGTGCACTAACTAATAGTAGACTGACGGGTCTTGCACATCCAGGATCTCCGGTCTACACTAGATACTGTGAAAGTAGAGTTCAAAGACAGTGTGGCATCTGGATCCATATATGGAGTAGAGTCAAAACGCAATTCTGCAGAGACTCATCATTATCAAAGCCTTGTACTTGGATGCTTCTATTAAATAGGTAGTATGGAAGGTCTTGTAGACAACCAACTCCATGATGAAAGTAATTAATAATACAGTTCCAGAAGATGCATAAGCATGGTTCAAATCAGGTCAACCACGAACCAGACATGTCAGAGCCAGAAGCTAAATCTGCACCAGAGACAAAAAGCAAGAGGGAACGGCTATCGGGCAACCCTTTTCCGTATCAGGTTTTGATGAGATGATTATGTCGCGTAATCCGCTCCATCCGTGAGAGTATCAGAGTTTTGCACAAGGGATGGTTGGAGCTTAGGTTTGTGCCTCAGTGCGCCCTGGATTTTGACACACTGGTACGTACTAATGCCCCTCAGCCAGTCACCCATCGTTTAACTGATTATTTGGGTTCCGCCGACTGTGCAGAGGAGAGCCCTTGGGGAAAGGAAAACCAAATAAGACCAAGAAATACTGGCAACGCCGAGAGATTGGCAAATGACCATCACTGCTTGAGGCGAGTCTGCCGGGCAAATTGACCATTGACCATCTGCACGGGGCTCATCCACCTCGTGCCCGCCCAGGTCCTCATCCCTCCTGTCCTTCAGTGGTCCAATCCCTCCGCCCCCTTGACTTTTCAAGACAAGGCAGATAGAATAATAATAGTTCAGTTCGCCTTCTTACGCAGCATCGATCCGTCTTTCCGTAGTCGACGTAGGAGTCATCGTGGACGTCGGAGGTTTCCAGAATCGCTGGCGGCTGACTTGAACCGTAAAACGAGGATTAAAACGAGTCGTCGTAACCCCTCTTCCTTCTCATGCAAAGTAGTGATGCTCCATCCTGTATCCCCTTTATTACAGTGACACGCTGCCACAGAACCAGATATAACAGGCCATCCAAATAATTCATTTTCACTCTATTCTGGGCCAGTGCTAGCTTATCAAAGCACGCCATCGTATTATTGGTGAGCCTGTCCCGCTGCAAGCTTCACATCGGAGGCCGATCGCCGCAAAATCTTTGGTGGGGAACACCATCAATTCAACCAACCTGGTCCGACACACTGACTGTATCACATTTCTTTCCTCACCACCAGACTATTCTTATTCTTATTACATCAATCCCTGCTCTCGCTCTTCAGTCGCTCTTATATCATCGTCTTGACTGTTTCCCTTTGGTCTCCAGGCGATCTGGGGATACTCCGCTCCATCCTCATCTCCCTTCGCGCTTCACTTGCACCTGTGGGAAGAGTCAAGTCTTCCCGCTTCGTCAATTGCGACCCGACAATCTTTGCCGGATAGAAAGTCACATCCCTCTTGAGTTACTGTTAACTCGAGAGGTTATCGACGTTTCCCTTCCTCGACTTCGGTTTCGTATATCCCCTGTATGGACTGCGGGACTGCTGGCGCAGCTGCGGGCATTGACCCCAAAATACTTGACAATTGGCAATCCGATACCGCTTTTTCGATCGCTTCGTGGGAACACGCCGGCTACGACCAGCAATTCGAGTGGGATACCAGTCCAGACTCGAATCAGGATGAAGCAGACGTTGTGGATCTAGGTGTTCTACATGGTTCACTGGCCAACGATCAGCCCAGCGCGTCCGTCTTTGGGCATAATTCCGACCCCAGGTTAGCGCAGAGTCTCCTATCCAGTCTGCGATGGCCACAATAGAAGTAGCTGACGGATCTTTGAAATACTTGCAGCAACCCAGGTCTCACCTCGCCCGAGAAGTTCAGCGTCGCGGATGCTGCGATCGAAGGCACCATCAGCGGGACCGTGAGCCCCAGAACCTTGCCCTCTTCGACTGATGATAACTTTCACGTCGACGAGACATGGCCGCAATTCCAGCTCATCAACTCCATGGCGGCTGGACTGCCGGTGGACGCGCCTATGCCCTATCCTTACGCGAAAGACCCGACCTCTAACAACACAGTGATCGTCGACGATGGAGGAGAGCTGTCCCACGGACAAGGGTTTTCAGAGGTTCACCCGGAGCAGTACCTGACATTCCAGAATCTTTCTCAAGCGTTTCAATTCGCCGCTGATCCCTGGGTTGAGCCGCCTGCCAATCTCAATTCGAATACGTCGGCGCAAGCACCCATCCCCGCTCCTCAGATGGGACCACAGGTACAAACCCAGATTATCAATCAGCCTCGCGGCTTCCAGGGCTCTTTGCGCCCACTCGAGTCGCGCTGGCTTGAAGGCCTCGAATCTCAACTGCCTACGAACCTAACTTCGCCTGCCTCATTATCGACAAATTGTCAAGACCACCCCTTACCTAAAGATGACAGGAGAGTTCAGGATGCATTTCAGTACAAGTCAGAGAGCTCTTCCGTCTCTGGTGATCTTTCAGGAGGTTACGACTGCTCCTACTCGGGCTTGAGTGATGATGTGCCGGCGTTTGCAGAACGACAGCTGGAAGACGAAGGTGCTTGGAAGGATGAGCAGAAGGAGGGGTCTTCGTCCGCGACCTCGCAGACGCTGCAGGGTGCCACTGCATTCGTGGTCAGCGAAAACCCCCTAGAGTCTTTCTTCATGACTGCTCCTAGCAGATCGAGGGCTTCGTCGACTGCTGCGCAACAACCTTCTGGCCGGCCTCAGGCACTGGCTTTGCAATCGGTGGCTACCGTCAGAAAGCGCAAGCAGCGTACCTCGAACGTTAGCATTGACCAGAATTTGCCAAAACCACTGCAGATTGTCCAAGAGGACGGCCAAGGGGGTTCCATTGCCTCCGCTGATTTTGTGTCTCCGCCTCGTGGAGCACGCCGCAAGGGGCCTTTGAGCATGGTTGGCAGGGCCAATGCTGGATTGCGGAGGAAGAACAAGGATACTTGTGTCCAGTGCCGCTTGAACAAGCGGAAGGTTGGTTTGACCTATCTCGGACTTGTTTTGGTCTCGTGTAACAGAAAGCTGATGATTTTAGTGCGATGGAAGCTCTCCATGCGATGCTTGTCGCCCTACCCTACACGAGCAGCCATGTGCGCGTGCTTGTTTTGCGAACATTGTCGAATATGGAACATGCAATTATATCTGTACGTACTCAACCCTTTTGACGTAACGGACATTCTTGACTAAGAACAATTAGCTCAACGAGCTGTCAATCACCCAACTGTGGACCGCTCTGGTCGGGTCCGGATGGAAATCCCATCCAAATTCGACTTGAATGACCTATTGACGTTCCTGAGCGAGCGGCAAGGACGGTTCAACATCCGTGCCAGCCAGGCATGGGGATCACTGTACGTTTTGGACTTGGCAGAGACGTACAAGTTCTTGAAATCATTGAGCGAGTACAATGGTAACTCGCGATCCACCTTTCTCGAATTCATCGACCGTCGGATTGTGGAGTCGAAAGACAAGTCCAAGAATTGGCTGAGCTGTGTTAGAGATTGCGATCCGATGAACAATATCTACGTAAGTGCTAAGCCATTCTTATCCTTGTATCCTTGGCTGACTTCAATTCTAGTCTCTACTCTCACAATGGAACAACATGCCTAGTCGTGCCAGCTATAGCTTCGTTCCCCTGCAAGGTGGAGGCCAAGAAAGGCCCATGGACATCCACAACCCCGAAGATCAGCGCGAAATTCTGCTAGCGGCGCAGCTGTCGCGGATTGTCTGCCGCATGCTGGAGGTTGAAGGGTTCCGGAAGCTTGAACGGGACTTTTACAACATCAAGTGGAAACAGATCTCTCAAGAGACACACCTGCGTTTCCTGAGTCAGCTCGGACATATCCTTCTCTCTCTTCGATGGCGAGTGTCCTGGTGGAAGCGCCTCGGGGACGGCGGCCGCGAACCCGACCCCTCGAAGCAGCATTATGAGGATCGAGTCGAACTGCTTTGTCGAATTCTCTATGTCTACTACACTTGTGTGCAGGCGAAGCTCCCTTCGTGGTCAACCGTTGATGTGCCCAAGGGCGTCTGGTCCACTTACGCAGATTCAGAAAATGCGGTGTGGGACGACTTTCCCCTGGACCCTAGCGAAGATGGATTCAGGAACTGGATGGAACGAGGCCGCGAACTCATTGAGCAAGCCGGTGTTCCGAACCGCGTCTCAAAGATCTAGGTGTCACTCCCCTAGAGCACAGAACAAAAAGCAAACCCCCGCTTGAAAAAGATTGTTGATGGATTGGAACTGGAGTTTTGATAACGATACCCATGAAGCGTTTTTCATTTCTGTCTTTGCCTCTCTACGAGTGATGATTCTATCATTTTTTGTACATACTGTTTTTTACATAAGTTCATTGATATATATAGAATACTTATGATAATCCTCCGCCTGTTTACCTACATAGTCACCACCGGTAAACAGGGTATCTATACTTCATTAATCGTATCGCTAAGTATCTCTATCTAAATCGATCGATCGACCACAATTCAATTCTTCTTCCCCCCTTCTCCTTCCCCTTCTCTTTCTCGGCCTTCTTATCCCTCTTCCCCCCAGCAAGCAACTCAAGATGTCCCGCCCTCTGCGCCAAACTCCTCTCGGTCTTCGCCGTCAACCCAGCCGTAAGCTTCTACTCGCTGTCAGCACATCACCCCTCAAACAAATATATCTTGTGTGCACAGTGATAGCCAAAACGAACCTTCGTAATCTTCTGCTGCTTAATCAGCGTCGCCTTCTTGGGCGCTATCTGTCGCGGTCCTCGCTTGGGTGCTAGTGCCGTGGGCCTTACCATCATATCGTCAGTAATCTGCGAGTTACCTTTTCTTGTGGTTGTGGGTGTTGGAAGATCACGTACCGCTTTGCTGTGCTCGGCTTGGTTTTCTTTAGGGGGCCTTGCGCCATTTTTGTGTTTTTCGGTTCCTGGAGGTGGAACTGAGGTTGTAATGGAGGTGGAGGCGAAGAGGTATGTGTACTGCCAGCAGCACGGATGATAGAGAAATTGGAGGAGGGTTGTTTGAGATTGGGACGAGACGATGTGATTGTGCTGGTGTATGGGCTGGAGAAAATTGCTTATCAGGTTATCTATCACGTGATTTGGCGATAGTGTTGTTTTGGGTGGGTGCGGAGGACTCCGTACTATATGGGTATAGGTCGCGAATGCGGATCTTGAGATTTAGGTGTTTCAGGAGACTACTACCAGGATAGAATTTGCGAGTATCTGTTTGGCTTGTAGCACATGTAGGACTCGAATGGTGTATGATACAAGTGTACTATCAGCCTGGAGATGATCACCGAGTTTTAGATCTAGTGGAGGCGAGAGGCGACCCAGTCTATGCGCTCAATTTTGGCCATATCTCATTAGAATCCCGTCTAACAATATCCGCGCAGACTCGCATTACAATGGCAGGCTCAAATACAAAGAAAAGACGAAGAGTATATTCCAGGCTATGCTGAAACACAAACGAAGTAAAAGCGAAAGCTCGGCCCCTCAGAGTCAAGAATTAGTATGTCCACCGAAGAATTTACAGGTCATGAACGGAGTTTGACCCCAAGAGGGCAGAAACTTAAAAAGCGAGGACGGCGAGAACACCAGCGGCAACAGCACCGACGCTGACAGCGGTGCGGTCGGCAGCACCAGTGAAGAGGCTAGGAGTCGGGGTCGTGCCAGAGGGGCTGCTGGGGCTGTAGGTCTTGCTGATCAGAGTGCTGCTGGGGTAGGCAGAAGGAGTAGGCGAGCCAGAGGGGATGGAAGGACCACCGGTGGGAACGATGACGGGGATCGAGGTGGGCTTGGCAGTGGACTCGGGGCACCAAGTGGTCGTCTCGGTGGTGATGATGGTGACATCGGAGCCAGCGGGAGCAGAAACAGCGGGGGTTTCGACCTCGGGAGCGGCGGAGCTGGTCGGGTCACGCTGGCAGCAGGAGTGTCGGCAGCCTCCTCGGGGTTGGAGATGCCGAACTGGGTCGACCACTGGTACTGACCAGTACCCTCAACGACAAGAAGGAGACCGTAGTGGGTGACATCGTTCTCGAGGTCGGTACTGGGAGTCCAGGAGTACGAGCCTGTGTTGGGGATCGACTCAACGATGGTAGAGAGAGGAACGACGTTGGTGCTGGGGCCGCGCAGGAGGACCAGAGAGACGGGGCCCTGAGTGGTGGGATCCCACGTAATGGTGTAGGGCTTGCCGACAGGAACCTGCTCGTTCAGACCGGGCTTCAGGATGGCATTGCCCTGAGGAGCCTTGGAGTAGTCGGGCTGGGTGTAGGCGGAAGCCATGGTCACAAGGGCAGAGATAGCAACGGTGACGAAACGCATTTTGTATTGGTTTTCTTCTTCCTTGACGATAAGGCGAATAGGCTAGGCAAAAAGAGCGACTGGTTCAAGAATCTCGTAAGATTTGAAATGAATGACTGGGGTCAAAAGAGTGGCTGCTGTCGTAGGTAATAAACGACGCGAAGAGGTTTGGACGGAGAGAGAGAAGGGAAAGAAGAAAGAGAGAAGGAGAAGAAGGGCAAGGGAGACAAGGATTCAAATTAGAATTGAAGAGCAGTAGGCTAGCATCATTTCGAGCTAAGCCTGAGATTGCTTTCCCCTTGAAGGATGATCGAAGGATGATGAGAGGAGGGGCCCTCAGCCCTCGCATTCACCCTAGCCAGTAGCCAGTAAAATAGCCTCAGCCCAGTTCAACAGAACATTATCAGGCATCATGAGCGGATCTTGCGGGTCATACCACAGATGTGGGTCGAATGAGCATGCCAATGTCGAATATGTGTCACAACATACTCCATAAAATAATGGCTTTTAAGGGGAAACAAGACTCTCGAGCTTCCTCCTGTCCTAATGCTGGGCAACCGGTGGAATGATGGACACTCGGCAGGAATGGGTAAAGGTGACTCTGGCAAATAGGGCGGGAAGAAATCCTCATATCCCCTTCTAAGTCGTCTGACTGGTGGAACTAAGATGAGATGTTTTAGTTCAATTGTTAGCTTGTGTAGGCCAGTAGGGGCCCTGATCCTTAAGGATTGGAGTCCCAGGGCTCCAAGCAGATTGCATTTTTGTCATCAATCACAGCCATTGACCATCGAGTTGATTGATATCCTTCCTTCAAGTTCTCTCGCAAATTTGTCCGTGTTTTTCTGGATCATGAACACTGTTATTTTGGATAATATCTACAGATAGAAAGAACAGCTTGGTCATTGTGATCGGTGGGATAGAGTCAACCGTAATTTGGATCTAGTATCACCATGACCCACCCTCTCGTGGGGGATAGGGAACACCAGCAGGGAAATTGATTCTACAAATAGATACCTCCGGCCTCCATAGATTGATAATGCTTGACAGTCGGATATCATTGCCATGGTTCAGCCTTTCAGGTGTATGGACGATGGAGCAGTACAGGAGGTTGCTGTACGCATGAAAAGGCCGAGTGTCAGGAGCCCATGTTGAAGACGTCCGATAAATCGATGATGAAGAGAACGTGTTGATTTTCAATATTTACTCCGTACTCGGTGAGGTACAATCTTCCGACATACAGTCAGTACTTCGTACTCCGTATGTACACTCCTCTTCCGCAACGAGACCACCCCTCAACATAGTCCTGACTCCTGTAGATACTCCCTTAAGATATTCTTTAGATACCTTGTCTCAATATCTCCTGCCTTCACCAAAACTCCGGACATTATCCGATTCGTCCCCGTGCAAAAGGATCCAGCTCGATCCTTCGATGACTGGGTGACGCTGACGAGTGCCTGGCTTCTAGGTGTGTCCAAAACTCCAAATTGCAGAATCTAAATGAGACATACGCCACAGGCCGCAGGATTAATAGAAAATACGCTTTAGGCGACCTTGAGCGAGACAGGCAGAGGTCAAAAAATAATCAAAATAGGGACTATTATTACCCCTGGATTCTGGCCAATAGTTTATGGGAAATGAGCCTCCACCCGGGTCAGGTAAGCATGCTCTGTTGTACGGAGGATAAACAAACGGAAGATTCCACGAGCTGGAGCTTGCATCCATGACGTGGATTTAGAGCTTGATTATCCAACACTACTGGTAGAGATGGACAACTCATTTGACAAACGATAACAGTTCATTCTGGCCGATCCAACGATGATCATTCCGATGAGGTCATCCCATGTTCGTCCCTGAACGATTTCCCAGTCGCTCCTTTCTTGTTTCTGACATGGCCGGTGGAGCATTCGGAGTCCAGCGCCACTAGAAATCTACATACAGTAGTAGAAATCGCGCATGACGAGTTGATCTGAGGTGGAGCAGTGTGTAAATCCACTGTACCAGCCATTATTGGCCCATTACAGTCGAGCTGAAAAGGGCGTGTTCAAGGTACAAAACAAGGCTCAGATAAACCCTTGCAACTCGTCTTACCTGCAAGTGAAGAACCTTCTTCTTGCGACTGTACCACCTGGATAACCACGACGCATCCGGTCATACCGGCTGCTGGCCCTGCGTCCTGCAAAAAGGAAATATATCCCAGTTGGCACCGGTCCTAGCGCAGGATGTCACTGCGTCCCTTTCATCCCGGGCTGACCCCTTAAATAGATACGTGCGCTGCATTGACCCAATCATGCAGTCGAGATAGCCGATAGGGCATGAACTACATACAGGGAGTACTGCAATGTCTGCATCTCACCTGCTAGAAAATGATGCATCTAAAAGTGATATATAAACCGTTGAATACATAGGAATATGCCGACCGTGTCTTGTGCCTTGTGCCTTTGAATGGCTTACGCTGTACACTGTTCAGCCCCTCGATTCCGTCGAGGGAGTGCTGCTATGGATGTTCTAGGCACTAGATCCGAATCCTTCACGACTAAGAGAAAGTTGTCCTCTTTCAAAGATGTGTCAGAACCGAGATGATTGAGGCCACAGCCTTGTGTGCTGTATCCCCGTATTTGTGCCGTCGTACATGTTTTGAACAGGTCAACTTGAGGCCTGACTTGACGCGAAGCAAGAAATATACTACAATGCAGCTCTGTTTAGATACTATAAATAAAGGGGAATCAAAGTATGCTTTATTACCACAGACTGCGCAAGATGCTAGAACTCGGGAATTACTACCGGGTATATAGAGTCGGCTAGCAGAAAATCGTTGTGTCATGATCATCAATGAAGTTGGGAATATCTCAGGGTTCACGATACCCGTCCCTACATGACCGAGATGACAAGAACAATCATTGCGTCCAGGTGACTGTCTTGGTTTGCAACCACTCGTCATAGGCCGCAGTGCCGCCTCCGAAGCGGCCGAATCCACTGCTCTTCCATCCACCATGGGGTAAGGTGGGCTCGTCATGCACAGTCAGGGAGTTGATATGGACGGCACTAAATTACAGCGATCATCAGCACTGTGTTTCTTGGAAAGCCTCCAGAGCTAACAAAAAACTAATGCTTCAAGGAAAAGAATGACTTACCCAGCCTCGATTTGCTTGGCCACACGAAGACCTCGGAACAAGTTGTCAGTGAAGACTGCCGACGTAAGGCCATATTCTGTATCGTTGGCCAGCGCAATAGCGTCTTCCTCGGTATCCACCACAATGAGAGATACTGTCGGACCGAATGATTCTGTGGAGTAGAGGTCCATATCCTTGGTGACGTTGTCCACAATCACGGGCCGTAGGCTGTGATCAGACGACTCTGTGGAGTTTGCATCGCCGAAGAGGACACTGGCGCCCTTCGAGAGCGCATCAGCAACGAGCGCCTTGTTCTTCTTGACAGCTGCCGAGGCCACAAGCACCGGTGCTGGTGCAGCTTTCCCGAAGAGCTTCTCAGCATTTTCAGCCAGCAGCGGACGGAATTTGTCTGCAATAGCGCGCTGTACGACAATGCGCTCCGTGGACATGCAGATCTGACCAGACTGGTTCTAAAGTCAGCCTTCTGAACGCATCCCAGGGTGTCCGCGAACCAATACTTACATGCATAAAAGATCCAAGAGCGCAGCAGAACGCCGCCTTCTCCAGGTTGGCGTCGTCCAGAACGATAGCCGACGCCTTGCCACCCAACTCAAGGAGAACGGGCTTGGTATACTTTCCAGCGGTCGCAGCGATGATAGAACCGACTTGAGTGCTTCCGGTGAAGTTCACCTTGCGCACAGCAGGATGGGCAATTAGAGCAGTGGTCACCTCGGCCGCATCAGCAGTTCTGTGGTACAGGACATTCAAGCATCCGGCGGGAAGACCAGCTTCCCGGAATATGTCGCCAATTGCCCAGAAACATTTGGGAGACAGCTCTGAGCCTTTGAGAATGGTGGTGTTACCGGCAGCTAGGGGAAGCGCAACGGCGCGAACTCCAAGAATGAACGGAGCGTTCCTGGAAAGTCAAAAGGTCAATATCTATGCGAAGGCGGAGTCCAAAGCGGAGTCAGAAAGCAGACTCGAATTAGGGTATTTTACCAGGGTGCAATTCCCAAGACCACCCCATACGGCTCCTTGAATACCATTGCGCACTCACCGTCCTGAGTGACAAAGGGTACCGAGCCCTCGATCGACGGAATTCTAGCAGCAAAGTCCTTGAGGAATCCAGCTCCCAACAGACACGTCTTCTCCGCGAACATCCTCCCGGCTCCCGTCTCCTCCATTTGATATTTAATCAACTCCTCGCTTCTAGCGACCATGATATCCGCGGCTTTCATAAGGATGTCTCTGCGGTCGTATGGCTTCGTCCTGCTCCATGCAGGGAAAGCAGCCTTCGCGGCTGCTACGGCACGGTTGGCATGGTCGACCGAGGCGGCGGCGCATTGATGCAGCACTTCCCCGGTAGCGGGCGCATGGATATCAAAAACATTCTCTGTCACTACGGACTCGTTATTGATGATGAGGGGGATGACGCCAGAATCGGCTTTAGCAACGTTTGCGGCCATATTGATGATCTCCTTCGGAAGGGGTATCCAACGCTGAAATGATAACAAGAGAGAACTTCAAAAGATTATCGAGAAGTATGTACAGGCAAAAAGGAAGGACTCGACGATGAAGAAGAAGGGAGCGTGTTGCGGAAGCTGGCCCTCTTGAACACGGGAGCGTCTGTCGGGAATTGTACCTTATGGAGCCGATTTTCTCCAACGGGGGTAGAAGGTTGCTCCAATGGGAGGACGAAAGCTCGAGGTTGGTTCGGTAGTGAGGTGGGGGACAGAAACCGACACGCGCTCGTCCATTAGGACTTCAGACTAAAACCAAATATGATGACGATCATGTTGGAAATGGGAAACCTCTAGCAGTAGCTGAGGGGTAGATATCAAATGGTTCAATTCTCTATCTGTCTTCCGCCCCGCAGAGTCTAGCCGAAGGAGAGTAGCCCAGCTTGGCAGCACTACCCTGGAAAGGAAGCATTGGACTATTATCACTATTGCCATAGATACATGTGAGCCGACCCTTAAAGCTCATTGAAAATATATACCTCTCTTTATGAAGCGGTTCACTGATGGGCACTTGGAGATGTGTGCGGAGTCCGACGTGCCAGAGGGGTAGTAGGTAGTGGGGACGCAGATGCTCCTATCTGATTGGCGAGAGCGATGCGCGGCCATTGTGGACGTAAACAGAATTGCCTTGAAAATTTGCCGGACCTGCATCAGTGATTATTAAGCTGCGTTGCACATGCATTAGCTAGTGAGGAGTCATAAGAGATTCTCATTGGACAAAATACTTAGTCTTCTATGGTTTCTGTAAGTGACCACTATAGCACATTTTCCAGAGCACTTTGAAGAGGGATATTGACTCTAGACAACTCTATACCAGACGAATATCTCAATTCTTGACTGGTATGCTCTCACAGAAACTAACCTAATCTATGTACAGTAAGTCAGTAACTATGGACAGACCTAATGACTTTAGTACGATACAGATTGCAGGGTCGCGCTCATTGAGACAGCTTGGCTCTTAGTAAATCAGTCAGAGTAGTCAGGAAGCGAAGGAAGCTTGTTCGGAGTATTTGAGGAATTATGATGATTGACTAGAGAAGTCCAGGACCACTAATTGTCTTTCATTAACAGAAGCGGAGTGCTGCCTTTTTCAGGCGGATATCAAACTGTATATCACAAAATGAATAAAACCCTAACACCATGCATGCAACAATATCCGACCTTAACAAGAAAGCAATCGTGTATATAAACCTCCACCACGCCATATATGCGTTTTTGTGTTCTATTCAGAAGCGCAAATGCAAAAACAAGCATAAGCATCAGCATCGTGATCACCGTCCAGCCCAGATCTTCGTCTCGGATGACGGCCTCGCCATATCGGAGAAGGGACACGCCGATGTGGCAGAGGGCGCCACACTGCTCGCAATACTGGAGCGGTCGTCATCGCTGGAGCTCGCCGATGCGCTGCTGTCGCCGAGGATCTTCTTCTCGCCGACGTAGCCTTCCTTGTCGTCAAGGACGATCTCAGACATCTCGTCGGCGTACTCCTCTCCGTCGCGGACACGCCATTTGGCGAAGAGATCGTTTTGGATCCAGATGATCTTGCCGATGGCGCGGACGAGAGCGACTTTGCGTTGAAGGGAGAGGGTGGGGTGGGACATGAGGGCTTCCGTGAAGACGTCCTGGATGAACCCGAGCATGACGCCGATGTGGATGTACTCGATGTTGAGGGGAATTCGTCGTTCTTGGCCGGAGTGCATCACTCTAATTGTGGGTTAGTGGTTGTTCTTTTCGGCTTGATACCGAGTGATGCTCGGAAAGTGAAGGGACTCACCCGACTTTGTTCAAATACCGCCAGAACTCCATCTCAGTCGGATCGGAACAGAGCTTGGTCAGGTACCACCTCAAGAACATCTTCCGTCGTTGAATCTGTGGGCTGTTCTCCGTGTACCAGTCATCTACGTTTGTGGTCTCGTCGGCGGTATCTCTTGTGATGAAGGCACGAGCGGTGATGTCTTGTTCCAGGAGCTTTTTGTAGACAATGTTGACGATGGCAGGGATCAGAGCCTTGATGTACTTGGAGCCTGTCGTTAAAGCCTCGATATCACCTGTGCACCCGTCAGTTTGGTTCGTGCAGACTGTACTTTGGCAGGAGGAGATGGCATACTGGAATTGAAGTCGAGAAAGTCTTTCAGGTAGTTGATGCGAGCTTCGAGTCTGGTATACAAGGCCTTTCGGCTCACGTGCTTAACAGGACGGCCACCCTCAAGGAGAGCCTCCATCTTCCTCCTTCCTTCAGACGCCTGCATTGTTGCTGTATGTGATGGTGTTGCTGTCGGACTTCCCCGGAGATATGTGAGAATGTGAATGGACGAACTGCTGTGGCACAGCTGTGGTAAAAATAATAGGAAGTTAGTTTTATGGAGCTTGCTCCGTAGTAGAGAATGTGTAGATCTGGATCGAGGATTAAAGAATGAATCGACCCGTAGATATGAGATACTCTCTTCTCTTTATACAAGAGTCCCAGGACAAATCACCTCGAGACAGAAGAGAAAACTTATATTTCTCATGCACAAATGACAGGGCTGGAGCCATGGTCCCGATTCTCTGAGCGTCATAATCCTCCTTGGTCCGGGAGCACTCCACACGGGCGTCGGAAACCGTTCTGAAATTGATCACATCATTTCACCAGAAGAGAATTTCGAAAACCAGGCTAGGACGGGAAACAGCTCAGAGAAATAGAATAGACCTATCATCAGGCTAGAGATGATAGAATCCGCTTGCTCAGTCCTGCATTGGAGCGGACACTTGGGCGGTTGCCGGAAGTGGGTTTGTAGTGGTATGACCATTCATTATCATAAGAGGAGCTAGGGAATACCTAGGCATCATAGTGCTATCTATCTGAGCTTAAGACATGAAACACGTGGTACCGTGGGCCCTCTATTTCAGTGCTTATGAGTTCGGATCAGCTGAATGGCTGCTGTAACTGCATACACTGCAGTTAAAGGACATCGTAACGCTCAGGATACCTGCCATATGAATACAAAGAATATGCTGCATCTAATCCTATAGACACCGTCACTTCCTGGAGACGCTATTGAGGATTCCTCAGAGGTCATATCCTGGGCCGAATCCCGAAAATGCAGGCTTACTTCTACATCTTCGGAAACTCAAACCATCATTAAGAGCACAGTCAACTGACCCGTTGAATTCCGAGGCCGTATGCATGCATGCCTGGAGTCGGAGCCGAAAGGCCGAGTTTACAGCTGCATACGCCTGCAGTATTACCTTAGTACCTTAGTATCAGCGTCATTTCCAACCGGGATCTATTTCATCAGAAGCTATGTTGGGTAGTTTCCCTTCAGTGAGATACATCGAGATATCAATACTATTTGCGTGCTATGTTTCAAATCCGTCGATCCCACAGATGATTGACCTCTATTTCGTCCGTAGTTCTGTGGAAATCTCGATAACACCATCGTCATATAGATATCCACTGCGGGAAATCATGATACGCGACGCATCTAGGATCTATCTAGCTAAGCATAATAGTGGCAATCTCAACCCAAACTCAGACGTATGACTCAAAGCCAGCAGTATCTAATACAATAGTCCATACGCAAATGGCAAAAAAAAAAAAAAAAAAAAAAAAAAAAAAAAAAACAATATTTCAGACAATGGCACACTGCTTAGAACTTGAAGAATCCGATGTCGTGTGATCCCTTACTGATAGAACGAAAGGAGAGAAAAAAAATTTTCGTCGCACTACGGAGAAAGCCCCATATTGATGTGCTCCGTTCCCGTAAACGGCGCTCCCTAGTGGGTGGCTAGCCTATACTTAGCAATAGAATCGGAGCGAGTATGGCATGATGTCGATGGGCCGAGTCTTACCTGTCAGATATTCTGATTAGTGTAATACTGATGCGAAATAGTTCACCTTGATGATGGTAGACATATGACCGGCTAATTGTGAGAGAGAAAGTCATTTGACCTGAAGGAGTCCTGTCACTTAGCAAAAAGTGAAGAATCGACATGTCAATTGATGTTGTTTGATGTTGTTTATGCTCTGGGATGTCAGAGAGAAATAAAGTTCTGTCAACAGTTGACAGCTATGGTTCCGAAATTCCGCCAACTGGACGTAATTTCCCTGAACTTTGGTATTCTCCCGCTGTATCCATGCTGCGTCAATAACGAGAAACCCTGGGCAGTGGAACGATCATTGCGTGCCTGTGGCTCTCATTCCATGTGCGCCTCGGGAGCTTACAGCTTATCAGCCACGAACATGATGTAACCAATTTGTTAGGTACAGAGAACAATAATAATTAAAATAATAATAGAGTGGTACAGCAGCTGAGATCCAATCGGATATACAAAAAATCTCTTAAGGCACCTGACGGATCCATCATATCAAAATTAAAACTTACTCTGATGGTTAGTCTAAGCATCCAGTCTACTGCCTGCGGAATATGAAGAATCGACATCGCCACTTCGCAAGCAAAAGATTTTTGGTCTGGAGAACTTGATAAACTGCATTATTAAGATAGACTAGCGATAGGAGTTACTATCCAAAGCATAAGAATGTTCCTGGGCTTAGGCACATTGGTTCGGAAACTGCCTGTCCGTCAGAGGGCTGGGAAAGACACCGTTGGCAAGCAAGTCCTGCATATCCCATCCGGGAGCCCCTTCAGTCTTCCAAGTCCAGAACAGCCAGCCATTCATTCCTTCGTAGGCATCGAGCTGGGCCTCGATGAATCGTCGAGTATCAGTCCTCTCCTGGTCCGAAAGGTCTGCCACCGAGCCTTGAGTCTTGTCTCCGCAATCGCCATACTTCGGGTTGTTGGCATACTCTCCTTGATAGCGCGTGGGAACACCCTTGCCATTCAGGTACTTCGTGCAGTCAGTGACAGCACCTGACCATTCTCCGACGACAACTGGCTTATCCGACCCTTCAATCTGCTTGCCAAAGTCGCATGCAGCCCTCACGTGGCCGCGGATATCCAGGCTGATCAGGTAGTTATCAAACATCTCATAGTGGTGTGTATCCATGACCACATCCTCACCCGTCTTGAATCCGTTCCAGGATGCCGTCGACAGAAAGCCATCGCTCAGGAAAACAGAAGTGTCTGGATTGATTTGGCGCACAACATCCGCAATCTGGTCGTAGTAATCTCTCAACCCAGCCTCACTGATTCCGCCTGGGATGTTGGGTTCGTTAAGAGCTTCAATAGCCGCGACCACGTCGCTTTGTGGCAAATAACGCTCAGCCAGAACTCGGAAGGCGTCCACAGTTTGCGAGACGGTATTGCCCTGCTGCCAGGCAATAGGTCCCTTACGTCCGCTGTTGTCAAAGCCATTCTGGGATCCCGGGGCTGGTTCGGATG